CGCAGAGTCTTTCCACAAGACATAAATCTGTGTGAAACTAGACTTTGGTGCCTAAATCTATGGTGAAGCCACAGATTTCCATAAATCATACCACGGTTAAGGTTTGAGAGCAGCACTGACATTCAGAGCTTGTAAGGTGCCCTGAACGCTCAGCAGAGAAGATTCCAAAAACTGGCAATGCAGAGACCGAACAATTAGCTGTCCAACCCACATGAATGGAACCACGGCGGAAAGAGGAGCTGCAGAGGAATCCAGATTGTCCCTGTTAAAAGCCTTCCTTTGTGTGTTATCTCTTCCTTAATTCCCCTTTTGCATTTTGCGGAAAAAATTCCAACCGCATCATTTTCGCTGTGCAGGCAGAGCACGCTGAACAATCAACACATCCTGACTGGCATAATACCTCTTTGTACTCCCCCACCCTAATTCTGGGAACCTATTTAAAAATGAGTAAGGCACAAGCACGCTGCTTTCAAACCTACACCCACCTCAAGTGAGCTGTGTCCAGTTTGGCCAGCCGAGCAACCCGAGGCACAACGTGAAGTCTCTCGCGCTCATTCATTCTGACTGACAGATTGGTTTCTGGAGGCGGAGGGTGGTTAAATCCAGAATAGATGGAGGGTGAAAAAAAGAGGATAACTACCAAGTCTGTCTTTTATTATCCCTAAAAAGTGTAGGAACCACAAATCAACTTCACATCTCCCCAGAGCCAGATTGTGACCCAAACCCTGCCGCTCCTGGAAAGAGGGAATGGAACAAGAAACGTTCAAAGTCCGACTGTAGAGCAACGTCATTCATCTGTACTCTACATGCGTGCTTGTTTTTTATTTTGAAATGCTTTTGTGTACCACTCAAAGAACAGTCATCACTGATGCATTCGGGTTCTGTTAAGGTTTAATGCGATTCCACTGAAAAGAAATCAACGCCATTGTTAAAAGTTGAGCAAAATGAAAGGAAAGTATTTAACAGTTTAACTTCCATGCTGAGCTCTGGGAAAGCTGCGACATCGCTCTGAAGAAGTCAGTTGTCGGGGAAGGAATCAGACAGTTTTAAACAAACTAGAAGAGAAAATGAAAGTCAATGGAGAGAGCCTATACTTTCTATTCCAAACAACCTTCACCCTGTTACCTAGAATACCTCTCATAATTATGTGTGCACACAAAAATGTTTTGGGTGCGCCCAGTTTCTGTTTTAGCCATGGAATCTTTTATTAAAGCACTAAAGAGACCAATACAAGCTATTATGTGTGCATACTAGCACACTTGAAATAATTAAAATGAGCAAACAATACATTTACGTGTATAAATGTGCAGAACAGATAAAAAACCTGCATAAGACACCAAAGGAAGCAAGTGAGACATAAAATATGAAAGCAGATATTAGATTGCAACTAGGCCACGAGCCATGATTTCAGTGGTGGAAGGTGAAGGTGTTTATGAGGCCTGAGTCACCAGGCTGGTGCCATATAGCTGCAGCAATGCCCATGAACACACCCAATGTGTACAATGACCCCATCAGTCACTGGATGAAGCAGGACATTGCGTTTTATCCAGTGTTTGTCCAACGCTGACCTTTCATATTCAGCCTGGTGCAGCAGGTGATATAAATCATCTGTGTTGTATGACAACTTGTTTGCAAGATCTCAAGAGGAATTCAATTTCTTACATTAAGGAGTGTGAAAAAAAGCTTAAATCAATGGGAATTGTACTGAGAGAATCTCCATAATTGATAGAACCAGTGTGTATTAATCTACATGAACGTCTACTTTCTGGGATGGGTTTCATTCTGACTGACGCCAGTAGACAGAACATTTCCATTTCTTTTGGAAGGGGCCATTTGAGGAGTTTGTTCTATCTATAATCTTGCCAAATATGCGACGATGACCTCCATTGAAAGCCTGTCACTGACCCCACAAAATAGTGATGTTTTCATGGAATATCCAGGCTTTCTGCTGAAAGCTTTAATAAACAGTAAGACTGCAAGCTTTAGGGAAACCAGAATTTCTGGGTCACTGGCAAGAATTTATTCAAACATTCACATTTAACCTTTTGGAATAACTGAAAAGAAATTATTATTTGCCACAAGCCCACGGTGGTTGTGGGGTAAATGCCGTTAGCTTCCCAGACTGAGGCAAGCTATAGAAGACAAACACTGAAAACAAAACAGACAGCTGGGATTAGAACCGTGCTTTGCTGTGCTTTGACATTGTGGATGGGAGCTGTAGTGTTTTGAAGGTAAACTATTTGACTTGACTAAAACCACAAGAGGTTCAAATTCTAATAGCAAGGTGCCAGATACTCATTTTTGTTGGAATAGAGTTGGTTAATCTCTTTTACATTTCAGAAAAACCGATGGCAGAAACTTTTAATGAGGGATTTTCCAGAGTTAAAGAAGATAGTGGAATCGGGACAGCGTTAAAGTGGAAGGCTGTTAACATATTTGGTGCTAAATACAAGATTGGGAGCAGCTAATGGAGCTAGCAAACAGTGCTAACGGTAGGAAAACAACATAGGGATTGACAGAATGAATGAAACAAAATAAATAAAATCATTTTATTTTGACAGACCAATAAAAATAATTAGCTAAGCTGGCTATAAAACAATATTTCAAATTTATATGTGTTGTTGAACATTGCTAATTTTTGCTAAATTCCCTCATTTATTCTAACAGGTTAAGGGGTGTCTTTTGAATAAATGAACCATCACTACACATTGTCCCTTTAAGACAAGTCAAAGCATCAACCATTAGCACAAAGAAATATCATGCTAACATTTGGACAGAAGAAGGCACAAAGATGAATTAGTATCAATCATCTGGTGTATCGAAGTAAAATAGTAAAATGATCATTGAAGTGATAGTACAACATGACTAGTAAATCAGGTTGTATTAGTAATATAAATGATATAGGCTGTAGGAAACTTCAGTGGCACATGAAGGAGTTAGTGTCCGCAAAATCACACAAATCAAAATGTTTCCAAATGTTTAATAGCTGAAACAAATTACAACGGTTATTCCATGCTGCTGTAGGCACAGTTTATCCAAAGTAAGTTTTCAACTGTAACCACATCAGGCTTAAAGCTTACAACTCTGCTGACAAGAACGCTGCTTTTGTGAAAGGTGATATCACTGTTTCCTCTGGTTATGAAAGTTAAGGCTGTCGTTAATTAAGGCTGACAAGTTAATTTTTAAAATGCTGAGTTGATGCTGAATTTTTAAAATGAGTTATTCCTGTTACTGTCAGCCACTCTTTCTGTAAGCTTAGTCATAAATGGATGGATAACTGGTAAATGGCTGCTCAGAAGCATGCGCGTGCACGCGCCGGTCTGCAGGGTCTTTCCGGTGTTCGTCATGATTGTCTCCATTCAACATTCCAACACTCTGCAGCAATGGGATCAAAGTAAGCAGTATTTTAATCAAATTATCCCTTTTACCAGGTTTATTCTTTGCCCGTATGTACAGACATACAGTCCAAACACCATGGAATGGAATGCATGGAGCTCAATGCCAAAAGGGCACAAACAAGTAAACAAGCACTTATCAGGGTCTGAAAATCCACATCCAACCGCTGAATTTTCAACATTTTTTACATTTTGTTGCTAAAATTGGGCTTTCGAGATGTCGTCTTGTGGTAAAGAACTTAAGAGGGGAACAGCTCAGAGGTCTACTTTAAGGGTTCCCCTCGACTTGGTTCATTACTCAAAGGCAGAGCCTGTAATTTAAGAAGTATGAATCCGTAGACGGAAGCGAGACAATGTGCAGGAAATCATCTGGAAATTCACAAGTATTCACTGTCCCAACCTGATCTACGTCTCACGCTGCAAACAGGGCGTCATTTAAAATTCCAAGCGTTGGCCTGTCGGGGCTATAAATGACTTATGCCTCACCTCTTCTCCTTTATTTCCACTGTGCGCATAATAACATGAGAGAGAAAATGAGAAAAGCCCGGTTATGGCTCATTTTACCCTCCTTTGGTGGCTCAATGACCATCTTTTGCTTTTGCAGCTGGCATTCCTGTGTCATCCTTTTTCATGGGAAGTCCTGACCAACTGGATCGGCCTTCTGGAATGAAGGTAGAAAATACAAGTCCATAATTCGTTACATGCAGTTGTTTTGTACCGAAAATAACTTCTGGTGAGTAATGTTGAGAAGTTTACTTTAAACTAAATACCGTGAGTTGGTGTCTCTCACAGGCATTGTAAGGAACACAAATAGGGAAAGATCCTGCAGCCCAATATAATCCCAATCACCACTAAATGCCCAAAGGCCTAACGCTGGGGACGCCGTCGGCTGGTTCCCTTGAATTTGATTGTGGACTTTGGAAACCTTCATGTTCAAGCCATGGTTTTAAAATTATTGTATAAGTTTTGGTATTTTTATAAATGTTTAACAGGGCTGGCGTTACATCCTGAATACTGAAAATATTGTATCTTCTGCACACCAGTTACTCTCTCTAGTATTTTGATTTGTAATGTTAATTTCATTACTGTGTAACATAAAGAGTAAAGAGTGAATGAGTATGCATTCAACGCGCAATGAGACAGCAAACCTATGCATCCGAATACTTAAAGCAGAACACTCCCTGACCAAGACAGAAATATTTAGCCATAAAAAATCCTTCAAAACTTAGTAGAGAACAATTAAACCAATGTATTATTTGCTGCAAAAACTCCAATACAAGTTTACCAAAGAAAATGATATTACTTAAGAGTTATTCTACTGTGAATTCAAATGACAATTAACTTTTGTGTTGCAGCAATGAAGTTAGGCAAATACTGACATCTTCTGACTGCTGAATGGACTGCAGCACTTATTCTGATGAACAATGATGTGGTTTTATTTAAACTGTTCCAAAACTTGTGGCTTCCACACAATAAACAGATTAGTTTGCAGCTCATGGATTACAATGATTCCTGTGTTCTTTAAAAAAAACAAGAGCAGATTCTGGATAAATATTTCCTTACCAACAGTGCTTCAAAATAACTTCAAATCACAAAACCACAAACCAAGAGTGACAGACCATTTAATGATCTTTGCAAGTAAGTTAAACAACCATTTATTTTACAGTTTAAAATGTCCTCATGGAGGAACAGCAAAATACACTCAAAATGAAGATTGATCAAAAGACAGTTTTCATACTAATCACCGTTTTAAGTATTTTTTTTTCTTCTCATTTGTTTATGAAACATTATAAGTGCCTTCAACATAACCATGAGAGTATTCAGCTCGCAGTCATAGAAATATTTACAACACAAAACCGACGAGCTCGGTTTTACTTTCAGCATCGGTTTCTTTCAGACTGCTTTGCTTTGTTTCACAAAACAAACAAAATGACCCTTAAGACGGACAATTATGAAGGGAAAAATACACAAGAGCACAGATTAAGGACATTAGTATTTACAGCTCGGCTCAACACAGTTAAGGGGAGGGATGGAAACAGATGATCAACACATCCAATAGCGGTTTAAGTTACATTCTTTTCTTACGATTTCTGTTTACCCTTTAAGATTTGAAAACAAAGCATGCTATAGCACATCTGTTATGAAGTCACGGCCTAAATGACCTCGGGATGCAGTCCCTCATATGTGAGTGGATGATTTTCAGACAGGAGGGGGCAGTAGAGGACCCTATTGGAGAGAAGAGAACAGGAATTCCAACAGAAATGTAACCCCAACAGTACAATGGTTCCTTTAAAATGAGGATACAACTTCAGAATGTAAAAGCACTGTAGTAAAAGAGTTGGGGTGATGAACATTACCAAAAAAAAAGGAAAAAAGGAATCAAGTCTGAGTGGCAAAATACAAAGTCACATATGAAAATAGGTTCTGATCAATTTTTGTTTACATTGCGTGTGTAGAGCGTTTGCAAAAGACATTTCTGGCACAGAATCAATTTTTAAAAATATTTTTTCTTGAATATTCATACTGAATCATGTACAGATCCTCCCCACTATTCCCATTCTTGCCGCTGCCCAGAGAGAAGAAAATACAAAGAAAAGAAAAAAAAACATTTGATGAGTTTAGTATAATATAATTCACTAGGTCTCTCCACATTCCTTCAGTCTTTAAATATTTACAATATTTACAATATTCAATTTTGCAATAGTCCACAATACCCTTAGGCTTAAAGAAAATGCCAAAAAAAGAAATATACTCTATATAGTCCCCTGTTGAGGCATTGAGTGTAGCTGTGCTACTCTAAAAGTTGCCTTTCGAGTTCCTGGGGTAGGGAACCCTTCAGGATGGAGAGTCGAGTCCGGAAATGGTGTAAAAGTTGGCTGATGGTGAAGGAGCAAAAGCATCGATCATGCTGAAATAATCCATAATCATTTTCCAGCCAATGATTTTCTTTCATCTTGCACAAGCATGGCTAATCACAAAAGTATTTTCATAACATGTATCATTTTATAATCAAGTCTGTACAGAGTTCACAATTTTTTCCCTTAACGTAGTGCAATGACTTCCCATTCGTTTCTCTTTAAAAAAATTATCACAATCACTTTTATGAAGGTAAAAAATATCCCATAGGAAGGCCTCAATCCATACACCTCCAAAATTGGCAAAAATGACATGATAAATCAAAAATGATCATCAAAAATCCTGTTCAACCCTTCAGATCCTCCTCAGTAGAGGTATAGTTTTTGGAATTCAATGTAATTGAGGGGACTTAAGGACTTGGTGGAGGATTGGTAAGTGCATGCAAAATAACTCGAAATAAATAAATATAAAGCAATTCCAGCTTATAAAACTCGACAGTTCCTAGAGGGCTGGTGTTGGCTTTGCTCAGGAAAGATGAAGGTAATTATACAGAAGCAATGACGATCATGAGGTGAGGGGAAATGCTGGAGATGCTGTTGAGAAGGTCCGGGGCTAGGCGCGAAAGGTGGCTCTCCGAGAATTCACACGGTGGGAAAATCTGCACCACATAAGCCGGCTGCGAATCAGAAACAACATGATCAGACATGACCTCCAGGACTTTTAAACAAAGGCAACATTAAACAAAAAAAAAGAAAAAGAGATGTAACAACAAATGTTTAAATGACCACACACCTGGTTAGAGCCGGGGTTGGGCACATTGATAATTCCAGCTGCCTGTTTGGCTTGCAGGTAGGTAATGAAGCCACTTGTCAGAGCTTGGGTTTGATCAAGGACATCTTCTTGGTCTCGACCACACGGTAGTGCCAGTAGCAAACAGTAGTCATTGTCCACCTGCCATGAATGATAAGTCTTTTTTATAAATGTAAACATAAAAGCACATCCCACAGGGTGTTAATCGGGTTATTGGCTGGAAATCCATACATTTGTGTCAACAATCTTTACTTTAATATTCTTGTGTTAAATGTGTTCATCCAAACTTTAGCAGCCAACATTCTATAGGTAGTAAAAACCGAATATACTCACAGTCATTCTGCGTGCCACACTGTCCAACTGGGAAGCCTCAAGCCTCATCCTCTGGACAATGCGTAGCAGAGGACCTCCCTCTGTGGGTGGCAGGGAGCGCTGAGCCAGCACGGTGTTGCCCGAAACAAAGTGCAGCTGGACGGCCGCCTGGTCGTTCTTCAGTGCCAACAGGCCTTGCCATACAATAGGATATTTCTGTACAACAAAAAGAGAAAATGGGTTTTAAACCTATTCCCTCTTTGGTATGGTGTTCAAAAATCATTCCATCTTGCTGATCAATCTGTCTTCCTACCGTCATAAGCTGCACCATATCAACGGAACGATGTCCCGAGTGTTCCAGCTTAGCATCAGGCCGTGAGTGGAGAGAACTCGATGGGGGTCCTGCTGGCATAGGTGATGTCAGGAAGGCTGTAGGACCTTTCTGTAGAGATAGATCCTGCTTATGAGTAAGACTCATGGGGGACGTCATGGGAGACGGGTATGAGGGGGAGACTGTATCCCGTGATATTCGGGAAATGTGCAAGAGTTCTGGAGAGGCACGGTGGAGATGGGAACTCTCAGGTTTGGAACCATTTCCTCCAACATGTGACTGAGACATTTTACCCCTGGGATTGATCTCAGGTTCCGGGGGCACCTGAACAACAACATAAGAAGTAAAAAGAGTAATGCATATTGAATGTGCATATGAATATGATCAATTAAATACATTTATTATAAAATGCTAAAATAGTTGCAAAATGTGAATAACAAAAGCATTTCAAGTGACCTGGGAAGATGTGACGCCTTGGTTAGCCAGGTTGTGTCCCGATGAAGGATGGCCTGGAAACTGGGAAGGAAAGCCGCGTATTTCACGATATACTGAGAAGGAGCCTGCACCTCCTGGATGCATTAACTGAACCCCATGTGAGTGAGGAGATACCAGGACAGGAGAAGATGCGTGGACTCCCCTGATTCTACTTTCGTTGGTAGGTGGATGTATCAGCTTTCCCTCTGATGGTTTGTGAGATTCTTTCGCAGAGAGGTCAATGATCTTTCCCACTATCGGACTCTTTGAGGGCCCAGAAATGTTGCTTGAAGACATTCCGCTCTCTGAGGTGCGTGACTGTCTTGCCTCTACAGCGACCTGCTCTCCCAGTTGCTGGTGCATGAGGATGCGTTGGTGCATGTCCCTGTACTGGTCCATGCGTATGCTCGGGTGGAGCCCTCTGTGATCACTGTGAATCATCATCGCATCTGATTGGAGCTGGGGCACAGAAGATCTACTATGGACTTGGTTAAAGTGTCTGGGGTCGTCTTCACTTACACTGCTGCCCCCGATGCCTGATACTGAACCCTGGGGACTTGAATGGGACTGCAGTACCAGATCCCGAACAACGTTAGGCTGAGGCGTGTTTGAGCGCTGAAGAGGCCCTTGGTGGGAAGAAGACAGGGAGTCACCGCGCCTTCCATAATTTATCCCAGACATTGGTGAGGTGTTCCTTCTCGCTTCATGAGCCATTGCCTGAGTGACACTGTGAGGTTGAATTATGACAGTGGACTGTTCCGGGTGCGGGTGATGCATACTAGAATGATATGTAGATATGCTGTGACCTAGAACGACAGAAGTACCTCTAGGAGAACTGCTTGGGGGACAGGCTTTGACAAAGTGGGAAGGGGAATGAACGGCTGTTCGTGGGGAATGGGGTTCTTGCTTTAGGTGTAGCGCTGACCGATCAGTTGGTATGCTCGGGCTGGGGCTCATGCGGGTTCCAGATATTGACGGGTGGTGGGGATTCATGACTGGGCTACGGGTAGACTGCTGAACAGCTTTCCCAATGTCCACCTTTTTGGGTAGAGGTTCAGATCCGAGTCCTCTCTTGCCATGCTGCTGCTGTATCACAGCTTGGTTGTACATCAAGACTTGAGGAGAACTAACTGGTTGTTGGTACATCTTTACAACCCCACCTTGGGACGCAGTGTGATACGGGGCTTCAGATGTGTCACACCCAATACCCTCCTGCTTCATACTGGATATGACAGGTTGAGAGTTATAGGACTGGCCTGTCAAGAGAACCCCTGTGTGCCCATAAGCTGCGGGAGTTGGGTTCACTTTAGGGGTAGGGGACTGGGATGATGTGATAAGTGAGTCTTGCTTTGTGGAAGATTTGGACACAGATTGCTGAAATTCTATATCACCAGCACTCGCTGGAGGGATTTGACTAATTTTGGCTCTCATCCTATGAGGTCCCTCCGTTTTCTGACCAGAATAACTCAAAACAACTACCCCCTCTGATGTATTAACCCGTAGGCCAGGACTAGTGCCTGTACTGTAAGGAGTGGCCTCAACAACAGAGCGCCCTCTCGTCGCATCTTCAACAATATCCATAGCATGGTAGCGATTATTCTCGTTAGAGTTTGACCTAAATTTTTGCTTGGGAATAGACAAACCAATGCTACGGTTGCTTAGAGAAATTCGTGGAGTTTCCTCTGTATCATAAGGCATAGGTATCCGACTGATTACTGAGGTAGTGGGGGAAATAACTGTATGCTGGATCTTCTCTCCACAGTTCTGTTGGGACTCTGTCAGTGGAAAGGGTTTGTGGTGTATGGGCTGGGGAGGTAAAGGTGGTCTCTCCTCTGGGTATAACTGCCTCGTACCTGCTCTATCAGAGGGATTTTCATTCTCTGACATTCGTGAAGGTTCTGACAATACAGAGGTCACCGTAGTGGTAGGCATGGAATTGCTGTTTGATGCAGAAACATATTTAGGTTCCATCAGGATTTTTCTTAAGGTACTAGAACTAGGGTCAACATCGGAGGCCTTGGTGTCAGGAGGCATCGAGGGATTTGTTGATGGGGTTCCAAGTGTAATTGATGCTGCTGGAGAAGAAGTTACCACCGTAACATGGCACGAAGGGGCAACACGAATTCTACTTTCTTCAGTTCTAGGAGGCCAGCCAGGCGAAAGGGGAATTTTAGCATGCCGCAGCAGGGGTACACTGGAGTGAGATACAGGTTTCGGGCGGGCAGGTGCAAGAGTAGGGGTAGATGGCTCTTGTGTTCGGGAAACCTTTTTACTGCAGGATATGTTGCTTGTGGAAGAATGAAAGGCAGATTCTTTGGGTACGGGCTGTTCAACTTCAGGCTGCTCTGCCTCTTTGGGCGTGTCTACAGTCATAGCACTTGTAACATCCCGTCTACATGTTGCCACAGCGGTGGCCACAGAAGCTGCTGCAGTGACCCCGGCTGTAACAGTGGCTGCTTTTGAATTGCTGATTTCTGGGTCTTCTGGGATAGATTCTGGTAACTTGACCGGGGAGGAATCAGGTTGTGAAACCTCTTCAGCAGTATCCCCTTTCTTATTAGCTGTACCTTTGCGACCTTTTGACTTCTTTGGGGTTTTGGCTCTAACTCTGCCTTTTTTCTTGGGTGTTTCGGGTACAGGGGAATCTGCCATTAGCACCTTTGGGGTGGGTGTCAAAGGTCCATCATCTGAGTCTGCGGCAAGAATATTATTGATCACCATGTGTGTTTCAGGATCCATAATCTCATTTGAGGAGGATGATGTCACTGATTCAGGGGTAGGCATAAGACCAGTGTAATTAGGAGGAGCTGTGAAAGTCTCTGCATCTGCACACATTTCTTCAGCTGTAATGGAATCAATGGCGGCTGCAAGTTCTGTTTCGCTAGCAGGATTAGCTCGCTTCTCTTCAACCTCAGCCTCTGGCTCCACTCTGACAGGAGGCAATGTGGTAGGTGGCTCTGAAGGTGGTACCTTGTATGGTCGAGGAGGATGCTCTACAGCAAGTTTAGCAATATTTTCCACTGCCTGCTCTAGTTCCATCTGCCGTGCTAAGAGAGCTGCTGGATCTGCAAGGAGTTCAGGCTCTGATAGGGAGTCATCCTCTTCCTGTGTGTCAAGTTCTTTTGATTCTTTCGGATAGCATATTATCTCTGTTTCTTCATTCTCCTTCACTATCATCTTGTTTTTTGCCATGTTGGGAGCTTCAAATGAATCAAGGTCATCATCCCCCGAACGTAGTAAACCTTTTACATCATCAACGCTTACACGGATCTCAAGATTTTTTAAGCTGTGGGATTTATCTTCAGTGCCCTGCTTGGTATTTCTTTTCAACCTTGGTGTCTTCATTTTTAAATTCTTTTCGGGCTGTTGTCTACTCTCAGGGGGGGTGGTGTCGACTTTTTCAAAATCCCCAACAGATTTCTTTCCACCAGAATCTGTTAAGTCTTTTTCCTTAATGTTTACTTTTAAGCTTTCATTTTCCACCTTTTCAGAGAGCTTCAAAAACAATTCCGAATCAGATTTAGGATTCATCTCTGACTCATCAAGACTCGTCAGATCAGCTTCTCCAGCTAGCACTGTCGTGGTCCCACACTGTTTCTCTATTCTACCTCCTTTCTTGTTAACTGGAGCAGGTGATGTAAGTTGTGTTTGTTGCACTTTCTGGGTGCGGGGTGAGCGCCATCCCTCAGAGGCTTTAACAACCTCTACAGTAGTGGAGTTATCTTTGACCTCTGTGCTTTCTTCCACCATTTTCAACTGATCACCCTTAACCGGGGATGCATCTTCGCCTCGTTTGGTGCCTCTTTTAGGTGGACGTCCTCGCCTTGTATTGGCGTGTGGAATAGGAACATCTTGCTGTATTGGTTCTTTATCTACACCGCGTTTGCGCATGGAACGTGCTGACTCAACCCCCTCTTTACCAGCTTGGTCGTCTTCATGTAGTGTGGCATAGACTGATCTTACATTCCTGCGACGTGTTCTGCCATGGATCAAATTAGATTCAAGGTTTTGCTCCGAATCCGATGCAGGAATTGGTGACTTGGATGTGGCTTTGGACTCAACGGAAGCTTTTGGTACTTCTGCCCGAGGAGATGAGGCCCTTTTGAGTTTTTCTCTGTCAATACGTTCACTCTTTCGTGTTGGTGGTTTCTCACTTTGTGAAGGTTGGGAAGTACGTATTACTGAGAGTGGTCTTGCCCTTTTACTCTTGGGTTGTCTGCGATTTGGTAATGGTTTTATTTCAGCCTCAAGGTCTGGCATATATGCCTCGCTATTTGTCTCAGTTTTCTGAGACTCTTCAGAGTGTTTTGTTTCATGATTTTCTAATTTAGGTTCTGTCTTAATGATTATGTTTTTTTCTTCAATTTTTGGATTATCAGGGAAAGGCAATCCTGCCGTCTCTCGCTCCAAACCACTGAGGGAATCACCAGGAGTGGAAAGATCAACTTCCACAAGAGGTTTATGTTCCATTACCAAATTATCTACAATTTTTGTTTTGGGTTCTATTAACTCTTCTTTTATTTCTGTTTTTATTTCATTTTCTGGCCCCAAAGGGACAACTGGAGGGACTACGGCGAGCTCAGGAGCTTCTGGTTTGAAGTCCATTGTAAACGAATGTGATGGAGATGCCTCAGAAACTGTCTCTACGTCTTCTTCTGTGATAAATGATACAGGTTGATCCGACAATGGAGTTAAAAATTCTTTCTTTTCTGGTGAAGACATTTCTTTAGGGGAAAAAGGAAATGGTGAGAATAACATGGTTAATGGGGAGCTAGCTGATTTGGGATCAACCTTCCAAACTGGCCTGGATTCTTTATCAAACAGCCCATTATCAATGCTCTGTCCTTCATCTATTTTAATCTCTCCCACTATAGAATCATTCTCAGAATCAGGTGAAGAAGGGTCTTTGTCTTTTTGTTGTTGAAGCTCCAAAAAACGACTATGGAAAAGCACTATGGGCTCTGATGGCATGTCACTTACTCCAGGTTCAGGCTGGGCCGCAGTAGCACCCGGCTCAGTAAAAGGCCCACCAACTCCAGTCTCTAAATCTGGATCCTTACGTTCAAGATGCTGCAAACGGCGGGAGTCCTGTTCAAAGATGGAGCTGTGCAGGAAGCGAGAGGCAAACAGGGCATGTCGTTCTTGGTCCTGTGGCTTAAGCTCCTCCTTTTTATCATGTGGCTTTTCAACAGAGTCGGTACGAATCTTTTTTTTTTTCATATACCAAGAAGGAATAGGTCGAGGTGCCAGCTCTACTTTGTCCTTATCTGAACAGCTGTGGGAGGTTGGAAAACGTGAAGGGAGAAAGGACCAATTATCTTCCCTGGAGGAATACAGTGTCTTCGCTCTTTCGAGGAGCGCTTTGGTGTCCGGGGTTATAGTTTTATCTAAAGCAAAAGAATAAAATTTATTCTTTTCCAATGAGCCTGAAAGCTTCAAATCCGTCATCCTCTCATCACGTTCCCTCAGGACAAAAGACAAGGAACTATTGGACTTGGGAGATAGGTTTTTGTTTTCTCCGTCCTCATCTGAATCAGATTGCACTTCTCCAGGTTCCAAATCTTGGCCAAGACGTTTGCGGATGTTTTCACATTTTGCTATATCACCCGGGAAAGTCACATCCATTCTAAGGGAATCAGACTTTATCCTTCTTTCCCAATGGTGCATCAACTCCTCATCACAGCCAAGTAAGGTTGTCTTAAGCTTTGGGAGCCCAGTGTCTGTAGACTGAAAATGTCTCAGTCCCAAAGTGGTTTTCAATGACTCATCTCGTGTTGGCGATTTTCTGTCTTTGTTTATAACTGACACAGAAATCTGGGCAGTGTCCTCTTCCTCATTCGCACAAAAGTGACCATGTCCTATTGAGGTTGTTATACTTTGATAAATGTCTTCATTCAATTTTTGGGAACTTGGAAAGTTGTGCTCTCTTTTGGCTGTGACTATTTCAAAACCTAAATTCTCAAGTTTCTTCCTTTTACTGGAAGACAATTCATCATTGACGATATCCTGGATTGATTTTGGAACATCACGTATGATGTGGTCTTTTCCAAAGTCATGAGTCGGATTACTTGCTTGGTTTTCCAACTTGACTAATTTCTCAGGATCGTCGCCAAGCTCGGGTCGGAGCCATTTACTCTGTTCAATTTGTTTCGTGCAAACGTTTTGGTCAACGTGTCCATCTCTCTCATTTGAGTCACTGAATTTGTCTCTCCCTGGTTCATTTTCAGAAAAAAACAGTTTCCGTTCTTTTAATTCATCCAAATGAAAGCCGCCGTCCTCTAATACCTTTGTGAGACTCGAGGCGTTTTCACTTTTTGATCCAGCGAAATCCTTTTGAAGGTAGGGAGACTCCAAATGATCAGTAGAAACTTCCGGCAGCTCCTCTAGCCGGACCTGCTGCTCCAGAGAAAAGCCTACAGAGTTGATTTCACAGTCTCGTCCATCTTTAGGACTGCTAACTGAAAGCATTCGGACACATTTATCCTTGTGGTGCTCCTTTTTATGTGTCCCTTTTACCAAAAGATTCTTATCCAAGTCTGTTTCCTTAGCCTTGTTCCATAGTTTATGAAGTCCAGGTTTAACAACCTCCTCCTCGCTAGTTCTCTTCTGTTTATCAGTTTTCCCGGAGACTTCGAAGCGTCTTTTCCTTGCAGCTAAACGGTCAATATCAACAGAAATACAACTGTCAAATCCGGATTCAGTCTTTCCGTGTTTTTTGGATTTCATTTTAGCATTTTTTTCAATAACCTGCACTAAACTGTGTATACTTTTGTCTCTGGGCACATTTACGTGCTTAGCGACATCACTTTTTGATGGTTGTGAGCAGAATGGAGGACTCCTTTGGTCCGCTGAAGGTGATGCTAATCTAGGACTGTCGCTGCCACCCCTCGGTATTTGCTTCTCTTGGACAGGACCAATTAATTTTCCTTCTTTTTCTTTGACACGTGTTAATTGCACAACACAAGGAAGAAGATCTAACCTCCCTTTGCTTGAGGCTTCCTTTGGAATTTTAATGCTTTTACTTCGAAGGGCTGACTCTGGGCTACCAACTTGTTCAAGTTCAGGTTCCGGTTCTATCTCACATGTCGGGATAATGGGTGATGCAACTTTTAGCTTCTTAAGCCTCTGCTTCTCACTTTTGTCTTTGTCCCCCCGATCTTTACGTCCAGCGCGCTTCTCCTTTTCAACCAAATTCCCTCTTTCTACTTCAAAGACTCGATCCTTCTCAAGTTTGTCGGTTTTGTTATACCTTTCAGTGCGCGCCTTTTCAGCTTTTTCAAATCTGGGTGGGGAGATTGAACTGCAGCTGCCACTTCTTTCAGAGGATTGGCAACAAATACGGCGCTCTGTATCACTTGGTATCCTCTCAGAGAGCGCAGGAGATGCAGTCGGGCTGGCAGGACGACGAGAGGCAACGTGAGATGGGCTTTGGCTACGCTCAATGGTCCTCCGTCCATGGTCGCGTCCACGATCTGTTTCAAAGCGCTCCCTCTCTCTTTCGCGCTCCCGTTGCAGATAGCTGTATTTGCGAATGTCCTGCTCATAAGGGTCAGCTCGGTACTCTCGATATTCACGAGGGTCTTCAAAGTATTGTGGATCATAGTAATCTCCCTGATATGGGTCCCATTCAGTGTAGAACTCCCGACTCCTGGCAGGGTATTTGCGACGTGGATCTTCAGTATATGTTCCTGGTGTTCGTACATTTTCGTAATACTGCCTTTCTGCTTGGAACTCATATTGAGTTCGTCGATCATCCCTGCCAAGAAATAAACCCCAAACAATCAAGATATTCTTTCCTCACACTTTGGAATCAAAATGATTGTTCCTTAAGAAAACTGCACAAACCTTCTTTCAGAGAGAAGGTCATAAAAGTCTCGAATGTCCTGTCCAGATGCCTGCATGGAACGATAGAACGCCATCTGACTTTCCTGATTGGCAAAGTCCACCTGACAAAAAAAACAAGCATAGGTTGCAATATTCACATGATGTCATTGAGAACACAAAAACATTACAAAATGGGTTTTTTTCCCCGCTTACCTTGATTTTACTTCCCCCTATCTTCCATCCCTTTGTGTCTTTGACAGCGGCTTGTGCATATTCAATGTTGTTGTACAGAATAAGGGCCATTCCTTTCATTCTGTCAAATACAACCTGTGCAAAACAGAGGAAAATAGAGTCCCATGTTGCCAGAAAGTAAACAATGGGCAACTTTCCGGGAGGGAAGACTTACCTTGACAACATGTCCATAGCGGCAGAAATGACGAGTGAGAAACTGCTCCGTTGTGTTTGAAGCCAATCCATCCAACCACACACACGTCGTAGGCATACTCTTCCCAAAGCCCAGCTGAAAAGGGATAAAATGAAAAGAGTGCAAATATTTATTCCCAAATCCAAAAATATACAACAAATATATAACAATTAAAATAAATTGCGCGCATAAATAATACCAGCATTGTGTTAGTTTGTGACAGACCAGAATGTGGTAGTTAATAAGGCAGTATTTTAAACCAAATTAACGTGATGAATTTTACCTTTAATCTATTGTTACCAAGGTATTCTCCATCCATCTTCTTTATAGCCTTACAGACACTGGCAATGTCGCAGTATTGTAGAAAGGCATACTGTGGGGCTCCATTCACCTTCTTAATGTCGATGTCCTTTGCACAATAACAAAACAGCAATAGGCTTTCATTAAGCATGGTCATCTCCAACTATGCAGCGTGGTAACCGTTGCCTATATGAAGATATCGCCTCCCCCGTCACAACAATGACCTACCACTATTTCTCCAAAACGTTGAAAGATGTTAAGCAGGTCATGGTAAGCTGTGGACTTCTCCAGGTTTCCGATGAATAACGTCCGTGTGGCCTTTGGATGAAACTCGTCTATCCTCTCATCCAAGGGCCGAAACTCATTCTCACTTTCTGTCTCTGAAAGATACAGCAAGTACCCGTTCAAACTTCCGGCGTTTTGTCGTTTCCTGTTTGAGCTGCAATAGAGTGAAAGATCAGAACTTACCAGGGCCACTCCAGGCTGTGACCTCAATTTGCATGCCAAAAAAGAGCTTCCCCTTTGATGCTCCGAGTGCTTTCTCTTGGTCCTCTTGCTGGCGGAAAAAGACAAGCCCGTAGCGCTCCTCTAAAGCTCCATGGATTTGTACGGATGTGACTTTTCCATGTTTCTTAAATTCATGGAACAAACCGTCCTTTAGGCTTGTATCTGTAGTAAAACAGTCAATTGTTTTATCAAGTATGTATTGAAAAACACCACTTTAACGAATAGGACAGATTTTCATCAAATCAAATGTGGCAATGTTTGAGGGATGAAAATAACATGCGCGCTGCTAGTTCTGGACTATTATGCTATTTGTAGTCGCAGAGAGCAGCGGCTTATTACTAACCTGTCGAGCGCACAGGAAGATTTTGGACCTTGATGCCAAAGCTTTTACGTGGTTCATCCTTGTCAAGCGAGGATAAAGGAAGTGCCGAGGGTGCTGGAACAGCAGCAGACTGCACTGAACGTGCCGGGGAGTCATCACTTGAACTACTGCTAGAATCACTGTTGCAAAAGAGAAACATGGACTTATATGTTGTTGCAAGCTTCGCGGCTCTTAATTTTTGTTATAACCTTTGCCATGTCATTCTTGAGAAAAAATGATTGTTCATGCCATGAATGATACATTGCTATGATGCAGGCTGTACAGATTAATCATGTATCATGCAGTGCTATGCTGTCTGCATCTGGAAAACCCTTCATAGATTGATTGATGCATGTTGAAAACTCTGCTTTGTGACAAGAACAGCAATTAAAATGTCATTTCTTTTACCACATTTTTACTTAATATATTTTCTTTCTTCCAATCCAAGATAAAGGAAAGAAGATTAGGTTACTGCAAAGAAAATGCAATAGTATGCACACATTTCAGATTATAGTGCACTATTTAAAAACCACAATGTATCTCGGCAGAAGATAAACACCCTCTACCTCCCTCATATAATCGTCATCTGATTATCAGTATAAGAGGATGGATTTGCACGTCAGCGGCTGCCTCGGGCCTGTTTTTACTGCAGCCGTTCCCATGCCTGTCTCAGCTTTCGAAGCCCTCTGCTGTTTGCTTCTTTCTCACTTTCTCCTCCTGTGCTCAGACACTCGCGGAAGCGCCGCTGACGGAGGCCGGCCTGTGGGAGTGGGCAGGCAGCCAGCAGCGGCCAGAAAATTCCAGTTCCAACTGGATCTCACGGAGGGGGGGAGTGTGTGTGTGTGTGTGTGTGGGGGGGGGGGGGGGCATTACACATACACAGAGGCAGGTAATGAAAAAGAAATACCAGCCGTCTCCTGAAATTCCCCACAGAGCGCTACCTCGTCCAACCACATGTGTCGCTACACGCCATTCAAAGCCGTCGCCTCTGCTGTGTCCAAAGGTGATGCAGTTACCCAGAAAATACAGAGTGTGTTTGGGTGCGGGGGCCGGGCCGGATGTGTTTATGTGGAGTCAATTTCATGGAAAAGATATGCTAATGTTTTTAGAACTGCCGATCTCCCCTGAATTTGACCCCAACCTTTTGTTTAGAGGCCTTCCTTGTACAATATTTAGTCAGCACAAATAAATAGTAACACATTGACAGGAGCCAGGACACAAATAGCAACAGCTGCACCAAAACCCTGCAGTGCACAAAAACAGCTCTGTTTTGAATGCAACGTGCTAATTAAGCTGAGAACAACGATGACGGGCACAGTGTGTGTGGAGATACATGTAAACAACTCAATCCAAAGTAAGGCGGTAATATACACGTTCAGCTTGAATTCAGGCAATCCAAAATATTACAATATATATATAACAATATATAACTGCTACATGCAGCAAACGTCATTTTTCAGGCTCTGACTCCAACGAGCTAAAGTCCACAACCTTGTAAAAGCAGATTTGTCATCTGAAAGACAGATGAGTGCAAAGTTCACTGACACAAAAGGACGGGACAAAGATATTTGTACACGTAACGCCGTTTGAAAGGTTGACGGATTTGTGATTGCAAAATGTGTGCAATTTGTGTCCCCTGCCAGGTGGAGCACAGCTGACAACAGCAAAAGCCAGCCTGTTGTTGCAGCATTAACAATGAACCTGACGTTAGGCCATGTTCTTTTATTATTAACAATAGTTTAAAATAATAACAGATCACGCTGCTGAGGAAACAGACATGACAGGGTATTAGGAGATAGGATATCTCCAAAGGGTTGTTATAATCCGCAGCGTCTGCAAAGAGGAAAGCTTTACCTCAGAGTGTCACGACATGAACACGCGTCACCACAAAGACGGGGGCGATTTATTTGCCATCAGGTAGTAGCTGATGGAAGAATAAAGACATTGATTTGCTGAATGCAGCGTTTTAGAATTTTGCTATATGGCGATTTCTCCAAAAGAAGAACGTTATAAAAGGAGGCCATGATGGGCCCAGGTGACCAGAAAAACGGTAATATAACCAACCACGCCGATACGCGTAAAGAATGGGTGTGGTTATAGCGCAGCAGCCGGGTGTTATCAGGAGATTTGATGAAGGTAAAACGAGCCGTGACTTAAGACCTGGGGCCTCAGCAGTCAGCTGATTAAGCAGGTGTCTCTGCTAATCGAGAACCAACGTCTGCGTTTCCGTATGTTATAGGGCCAAACCAACTGATCAGATATTAGAAAACCTGTGGGGGTTTTTTACAATTGGCTGATTGGACAAAGATACAAACATGGGGGGGAAGCGAGGATACTTGGCACTGGTGGGGCAGCCTCTGAGGGGATGATTGTTCTCATGATGAAGCTTGAGGGGTCCACATGAACACATTTTTGGTAAATGTGAGGGAGACTGGGAAAGCTGAATTGAAATCATCCAGATATTTGAGGTACACAATCCACCACAACGAATAGACCATATTGTGTTTACTGTCGTAGAAAAGCCAAAGACACTTAAAACTAGCATCAAAAACTAATTTCCCGTCCTGCTACAGCTGTGATCTGGACTCACAGATCAGAACAGAGGGACGGGCCTTTTTAATCTGTAGAATTTGAATTGGAACAAAGTACAGCTGGATTCTGTGAATTGAAGAATTACAGCCATCTGAAGTGCTGTGTCCAGCCTGCGTTTAAGACTTGGGATCCACAAAGGTAAACAACAGCCACGAGGGACCAAATCTCCACTCACCTGCCACTCGTACTGCTGCTGGTACTGCTGACCGAGTCTGAGCTGGAGGAGCGGCTGCGGGAGCCCGACCCGCTGCGGGAGCGCGGAGGACGTGTCGCCTGGCTCGCCAGTCTCTGGGGAGATTGATTCCGCGAATGTGTCGAGTGCGGAGACCGGCTGCGGCTGTGGCGGTACGACCGCTCCCCGCGGCGACCCCTGTCCTCCCTGTAAAGGTCCCTGTGAACCACGCTGGCCAGAGTGAAGGGTTCCCTGGTACGAGGCTCGTAGCGAGGCTCCGGCGTCTCAAAGCGACAGGGGCTCCTGCTGTGGGAGCGGAAGAAGCCGACCACGCTGGACGTGGATACGCCGCTTCCTCCCGGCGTGGCCCCCGCCGCCCCCCCCACCGTTCCTGCGCTGGCAACGACGGCGCTGACGATGGTTCCGCCGACCCCAGACGCAGCCGCCGCGGCGCCCCCGCCGGAGGCCCCGGAGCCGCTCGCGGCTGTGCTGAGAGTCCTCTCTCGCGCGTCTCGGTAATAGTCTGCCTCGTAGTGCCGCTGGCGCTCAAAACTGCCGCCGGGACGCTCGTGATGTCCATAGGCACCGTGATCGTACGCCCGATCCCGACTTTCGGCCGTCCTAACAGAGACGGGGAGACAGGACATCACATTACCGTTCACGTTCAAGACAGCGGCCAGCATCAGACATCCGGGCAAACTAAATCATCATCAGGTGTCTCTGCTGGGCTTTTACTTAACTAGACACACAGGGAGACAGGGCGCTTAAGTGTTTGGACAAGGGAGGTTCTAGAGCATCTAAAGAGATGGTTCTTTTCCAGGCTGAAGACCGAGCTACGAGGGGATTCGATGATGGTGAAGCGGTTCTTGGATCTGAGCATGTCTGAACTGTCTCTGGCTTACGGATGAAACGTGTCAGGTCCTCGTGCCACAAAGACGCTGACGGGTCCTTCGTGAATCTGCTTGGAAGGTGTTCACACAACACGTCTACTGTTTAACACGGCTTTCCTTACAGATGTGTTGTGAGTCAACAGCCTCAAAGAGATGTATAACTACATCCGACTGTAAACTGTTGAACCTTGAATGGAATTTCAATTTAAAAATAACAGAAATCTGCAGTAAAATAGTTAAAGATGAATTAGTTAAAGAGATTCGTGCCTTTATTGACTGTCAAGTCATTCTGGTCTTGTAACTATAACAAAAGCAACGTCCTAAAACATTTAATCATTTTTCCGAGAGGCTTTGATGAAGGTTTTGGGATATGACGTATGACAAGCCTTTTGTTCATAATGTTGCGCAATTAAACGCCGCTTCTTCTCCTGAAGAAAAGGGGTCTTCGAAGAACCTTCAGTGAAAGCACACATTAGAAAAAGGTGCCATTAAGGAAATTCTGCTCAGACCCGAACATCCTCGTTCTGAATAAAGCAATCAGAATTTAATTTGGAAGTACGGCTGCTGTGTCATTACAACAGTCGTGTTACCAAACTGGCAGTAATGAGCGACAGGACAGGACAGCGAACTGTTTGAATTCAGATCAAATTATAATCAGCAAATTAGCCATGATGGTCCAACACAAGGCGGGTTGTGGTTTGATTTAAACAGCACTTACAAACTCTCCATCATTTATTCTTTGTCCGGCTCAAATAAAAGGATGGAAAAATATGGATATTTAAGATGGTGCCAGATGTCAACGGTATACCTCAACTATGGAATTTAATATTTTATACATACACATTCATAGTGATTACTAATTGCAGATGACTATTCAACAACAAATTGTTAATATAAATATGATAAATATCCATGTGATAATATAAATCAAGGCTTTCTATGTGGAAACACTTAATATAGTGATCAAACCAGAAATCCTATAAATATAGTCGGTAAAACCAACTACGGTAGTGTGCACAGTACCTTGTTGGATGTTTTAATGCCCGTATTACCTAACTGCATCTTCCTAGAAGGTAGGGAGACTTTTTAAGACCCTTACTTTCTTCCCCAATAAGTCCTGCCAGTGCCAATTTACAACAAAGCAAAGAGATGTTACATAACTGGAACTAGATAACATAACTCTTATAATATCGACATTATCGATATTATTATTATCATCACAATCTACATGCGAAACAAGGTAGTCAAGTCAATTGCCTAAACGTGTTCGGCACACCGTCCTTGCTGATAAGTGAGACAGGCGTCCAAACCCTTTTGATTTGGACCATCAGACATGTTTTAATTACATCTTTGTTAGGATGTTTTGCGTGCTGGGTTGCATGCTGCTTAACGGTCTATTCCCACAGAGGAACTACTGAAGCGGTTTATCTCATCAAAGAGAACTAGGAGCATCCTTTGCTCGTGAAAATGAAGCTACCGTGCTCTTTGTTTGGAAACATTTGTGGATGATCACATAGGCTTCGCTGTGTCACGCTTTATCTCTTTAGGATTTCAGGGACAAACTCTGTGCTACAGCTTTGAGAGATGCGCAGTGTTGTTTTCCACCACAGATACAGTAGAACAATTTGTTTTGGGTGACGCAGGGATTTGCCTGCTCATGCGGAAACAGGCTCCGCTCTGAGCTTCAGAAACCACGTAATGTAGGGCTAACAGGAGGCTACTGCCATTCCTCTGAAGATATATGGCACAGGCATCACTGATGCCCTGGGACGTCCTGAAAAGGCACTTTGGTAAATGATCCATAAGATGAGTTTCCTCAAAATGCCCGAGCTGACCTTTACAACTGACTGAGAATGTGTTACTGATATTCACAAGCCTTGAGAGGACTTTGATGGACTGCATTCATCCACTTTCTTCTTCTTTTTTTTATCCCTTTCAAGGATACACAATTCAGGTTTCTGTTTTAACCGAGCCAAATATCAGCCCACTGGGGATCTCAAAGCGCAGTGAAATAATTTAACAGATAGTTGTGCGGAAAATCTGTGTAAAACATTTAAATAAATAGAACCTATAGAAGCAAATGTATTAGCCCCTAGATGGAAGTCTTTCATTAAGTCTTTCCAACAAAGGCCTTGGCCATGGGGCGCGGGAACAAAAGACTGTCTGGGATGACCACGGTCTACTGGACGGGGAGGATAAATTGGATGGCGGAGCCAGCACTGTGTCCGTATTTCACTGCACTATACATAAGGTACAGCGGGGCCGGGGCAAATTCTGTTTCATCCCATTTGATTTAATCATCCGTTGGCTGGATTCATGAATAACATCTACGGTATAACGATGTCTGCAGTGAAAGTGATGGATTACCTTGACCCCGAGATGCTCCCGAAAATGCTAATTTGGTGGCGCAGGCTCGCTGCTCAATAGATAGCCTTCAATTTCACTTCAATTTCACTTTGCACGAAACCGGGTCTACATTATTCATGGAGCTAAAAATAATTCAGTTGGACTTTTTTGTTGGCAGATTTTCCATCAGTGTTTGATTAGGAGTCTGCTGCGGTGCATGCTAAGCGCAGCAACTGTTTGGGGATTACCCGAAAAGCATAATTATATGGATGCATTCCGGCAGCTTGCTGAAACGGCATTTTACATGGAGACTTTGGGAGCTCTGCATGCATATCAATTCAATTCTAAATCTCCAAAACTATTTAAAGATAGTTCAATGTTGAATATCCTTCTGCCTTGCAAAACCATCAGTAACACGGTGCAGCTGCGACGCCCCCCCGTTGTCCTCGCAGACTGCAGCACCAACCACAGAGCCGTGGTTGGATGACGATGGCATTTTATTTAGCGATATACAACATATATATTATATTAATATATATATATAGTGATATATATTTGTTTATTGATTTGTGATCTTCCCCTCAACAGTCCACCACAGTCAGGAATCAAAAAAAGTCAGTGATAGCACAGTATGAATTCTAAAGAAGAATATTTGACTATTGTGAAAATTTCTAACATCACACCCCATGTGGTGTAATCGGCCAACCCGACTCAGACCTTCAGCGGCCAGTCAAGGACGTTGGGTGGTATAAAATCTCTACCTTCATAGTTCCTGGCAAGCACCATGGCCAACTCGCTTCAGTAAAATTCTAAAGGAGTTTAAGAATGAAATGCGACAAGTTACACCGCACTCATGTTCCTCTCTGCTCCCAGAAAAAGGAAGCTAGAGACGTTTTAAAACTGCAGCTGCAAGGAAGGCACATCAGGTAATGGTGCTGGAACTAATGATCATCTTCATAATGTATGAATATCATGATTATTATTTGTTAATTAAATCCATCAATCATTTAGTTTATTAAATGATTTTGTCTATTTTTTCTCCCAGAGCATAAAGCCACATTTAAAATGTTGTTTGGTCCGTCCACAAGCCCCGACTTCGACCACCACATATTTAATAATAATTTATACAAACACAGAAAAGATAAACATTTAAATAATACAAGCAACAACTGACCTTGAACAAGCTTGAATTAAAGCAAAGAGGTTAATTTAGGAGTTAATTGATTCTCACTGTTTTTTACACCTTAAAAAAAAAGTTTCAAAATTAGATTATTTTATATTTTTATCTATATTATTATTGTAAATAGCATGCTGCCCCCCTCTTTTCCCTGCTCATATTGTAAATACAAGTATGTGACAAATGTTTAGGCTTTGAATCCATTGAATTTTCCACAGCCCCGTCCCTGCGTTTTATTAAGATAAATAAATGAAAGGGCTTTTTGATCCCAAGCCATGAGTACATATCAAATGGTGGCTCTGGTTCTATTTATCTGAGGAGGACGAGGGGACATGAGCTGAAGGTTTAGTCAGGTGAGAGGAAGAGAAAGAGGAAAACAACACACGGTGAGGTTATCTCGGCATATAGACACACAGTGATAGCAGTCTATACACCGGCTACTTCGGTTAGTGGGGGAAATGGAGAGAGACAGGGGTTCAAACTAGGGGGTTAGAGAGGACAGCTAAAATACACAGGGCAGGACATACCAACCTTTTGAGAGAGTGGTAACTTGACCTATTATTCCGAATACAATCTAGGGAGATAGGACTTTGTGAGCAGAAAAAAAATGGGCAAAAACGTTGAGTGGAGACGGAAGAAGCCGAAGCAAAACGATCATTACAAAATGTAATCCTCATCTTCAGGGCAAGGGTCCTCTTGAACTTAGATCAGTGTTGGTTTTTAATTAAAAAGTATGAAAACAAAGTTGGCCTCGTACGGATCCCGGGTGGAAGGAACTTGTTTCTTTGGCTAGAAATGTCCATTTGAGTTTGTATACGACGATCCAAACGCGAGGGAAAAGGAGTCCAGTAAAATGAATACATGATATCCATAAGTCCTTCTTCTTATAAAATAGAGGACACTTGGTTCCTCAACAGCCAAGATGGAAGAGGCGGAAGTCTTGCGTCTTCAATTGAAGTCAAGGGAATTCCGCGATGGTCACAAAGTGCAGAGTAGTAGAGTTGCTCATCTTGTTTCGCAGAGGGCGGGAGATCTGCCCGTGACAGATGAAGAGTAAAGGACATGTCTTTTAATGGTAATCCAGATTCTTGTTCATAGCAGCACCGTCATCATTTCCATCGTGGCAAATATTCAGTGTTCTAAAAATCATGGACGTTCATGTCTGTGGGTCTCCTTCACAGTTTGTTGGTGCAACTTTGTTGACCGACTCTGTAGGTGTTTGTATCCGTGTTTAAATTATAGTTCCATACTCGGGAAAGGAGTAGGTAATCCACGGACATGAGGAGGGTTATCTCCGGCGGCTAACGTTCAGTCTCAATTTCCAGCTTTCTTCTTTGAATTGTACGATCCAAACATAGTCCATGTTGGTCCTTGTGGTATCTGGAATTTTCGAGTCAACGAAAAATAATCTCCACAAAAATGAGAAAAAAAATGCTCAATTTTTGTTGTTTGTTCCGAGTTGAATCCCGAGTAGAAGTCTCCCAGCACTCAAATTGTATTGCCCTGATTTTAGATATGATCCCAAATAAAACAACAACAAAAAAACAAAAGAAACCAAGAAAGCAACTCATACCTTTAGCATGATTGTGTATCCTTTGGGTGTCTGGCCAGCGTTAATCCATCAGGGAGGGATAAATATCCTGTGTAGGTTATCCTTGTGACTCCAGCGCCCGAGAATCGAAAACCAAATTAGACTAATCCAAGCGAGGGTGTTTTGTTTACATATATTGCGTGCTCTTGGTAGATTTGTGACACGAGGAAAAGGAGCGACATTAATCCACCGAGCAGGGCGCGTAACTCCAGATTAGGGGAATCCCAGGGATGGCTGCTGGACCACTCTCTCTTTTTCTCCCCTCCCCCCTCTCCAGCACTGCAATGATCCTGGGAATTTTTTACCACATCCAATCTTTGCCCCACGTTTTTCCGCAAATGATATACATCCACCTCACGGGGATGTTTTAGGATCACAAAAGATCTCCCAACAGAATAAACTATTGGCCAATCCTGACATGCTTGCGTATAATCATGCTTTCATCGTTTATGGTATCGGTCCGCGTCTACCTGAGAATGCCCCAAACCCCCCCACTCCCCCCTGCCCCAAACAAGAAAATGAATAGATGGTGGGAAGATGCTTGGAGGTAAGGTGTAAGAAACCACGGCCTCCCCCCGTCTTCAGAGAAACTTTGTCCACTTACCCGTCTAGTCTGCGTTCATAGCGTCCATCTCTGCTGTGGAGCGGCGTGGGGGGCCCGTACACGGTCCCCCCGGCCGCCCTTGTGAACCCTGATACATCCCGACCTCGAGAGCCTAAGGACAGACTATCGTCCAGCCCTCTCGCTGCAGTGGGAATTGTGCCTGGTTCATTGTAATCAGTGCGCAGGTCTCTGTCTCCCATCTTGTTGATAGCATTATGAGCCTTCTGAGCACTTTTAATGTCCACGAAATCCACAAAGGCTGCGACTCCCCCTTCTGAACCACGCTTAGGCAGGACCTTGACACTCTCCACGCGTCCATATCTAAGGAGAAGACAATGGAGACAAGAGGTGATCAATAGGTTTGCAACTGCGATTCTGTTGGGTCAGGGAATTTTAGTTTTGCTTAATTTCCGGTCACAGCAAAAATAAAGCAGTTTCCCCAAAAATACTTATTTTGAGCATGGGGCTTGATCAGCAGCCCCATGCTTAATGGATGGATGAGGATAATATTTTATGTCAGTGTGTGTGTGTGTGTGTGTGTGTGGGGGGGGGGGGGTAAAGTGGCTTTGCTTCAATTATTTTTGACTGGTAATTTCTCGAAGGCAACAGTAACCCAGCAACTGGCACATTTCACGTTGGTGAATGTATGTATTTTTGAACATTAGCATGTTGTCTCGGAGGAGGGTGGTGCTCATAACATAATAGCAACTGAAAAGCGCACAGCAGGTTTGAGCTGGACAAAAAGAGAGACGTGACATTTCCTGGTTTGCTTTGTGTTCAGATTCTATATGCATTATGCATGTCTGTGTAGCTTCTTTTGTTGCATTATTAGCAAAGTACCATTGGTTCTATCATCATTTATAACATCATTTCTTTCCCTTTCCGTTTTTTATTAATATTATTGAAGATGTGAAAAATGAAGGTTGGTGTCCCCTTGTTTCCTGACTCATTCAGTCGTTAAAATGATGGTTGAATAAACAGAGAAGTGTAATAACGTTACAAGCCCAGTCTCTTTGGCTACAAAGCACAATATCATCTTTGCCCCTGAAACCCCCCCCCCCCCCCTTGCCCCTCCCCACCGAAGAATCTTTCGAGACCGTAATATCGCTGTCCGACGGGGACAGCAGGGTGTCCATAAATGCATTGGCACGCCGGTTCCCCAACGTTGAAGAGCCTCCGACGCCATTTTAGAAAAGCTGTTCACAGCTGCTGCTCACTCACTCCGCCGTCCCCATCTTCAGTGACTTCTACCACCGCCACGCACCTGCAGCCTCGCACCCCCCCCCCCCCCCCTCCCGAGCTACAACAGCGACCTGCCGAATCACCCCCCACCCCCACCCCCCATATCCCCAACCCTCCATCCGCTACTTGCTATAATATGCCGCCTGTCACCCCCTCTAAAAATAAGGATATCACCCGTATCGCCCCGCGCGCGCATCATAGCACGAGCGCATGCAAATGTGTGATCCGTGATTCAAAGACACCGGCCACATCTGCACGCCGTCCGTGACGAGAGTGCCAGGCAAATTAGCATCACGACACGTATGCACGCGCACGCACGCGCTTGAACACACACACACGCGCATCGCGGACGGAACGTCCCTCTCGGTTGATTTTTGCCCAACGAGACACGTGGGATTTGCGTGCGTTTGTGATTTAGCAGCCGTCGTGCGACGCGGCGACCGGCTGCCCCGCGGCGGCGGTGGGTGGAGGAGCGCGTGCAGGTGGAGCGGTGCTTCGCGTGGACGGAGGAGCGGGCTGCTGACTTGCTTTACAGCAGACGGCAGATGAGAGGCGATGGCGCGCGGGCGACCGCGATAGACACACACACACACACACACACACACACGCAGTAAATCATATTCACATTTTCTTCCCTCCCGGGGTGGCAACAAAGAGCCAAAAGCCCGTTAATGGCGCGTGCGTGTGTCGGATTCATTTCAATAGACCAACGCAACGACAACAAATAAAAGGCCAAGTGGGGCCCGATCGGAACATCGTAATTAAACCATCGACGTGTTGGCCGATTTCGTTTCGACCCGATGGCGCTGCACGCTGTGCGGGTCAGCAGCTGTGTGCGGCGGTAGGGGGGGCGGGGGGGGGGGGGGTAATAACGTAGATAGAAAGAAAACAAAAGCCGTTGCCGTGCGCATCATACGCGCACGCGGCAAACACGAGTGGAAAAACGCTACAACGTCTGAGACGAGCTCACGCGGAACAGACCATTTTGCAACAGTGTCGCGGCGCGGACGCCTTTTCGCTTCCACTGACTCGTGTGGCGTTTGGAGCGGGACAACAGCACAACAACAACAACAACAACAACAACAGCCGATAGATGCGTTTGACTCGCAGTGTGCTCATTGACGACCACTTTGTTGCGCGCGTCTGGTCGGAAGCGGACGAGCTCGCGCGGAGTGGAAGCACCGGGTCCGCGGCTCCGCTTCAAGCACCGGGGGATAAAACACACGCACGCACGCGCGCGCGCACACGGGGCGATATACACCGCGTTCCGCCTGCCAGAGAGGACGTCGCACGGCTCGTTACGACGCCAGCGGCTCTCCCGGCGGGCGGGGAGTTTGTTTACTGACTGCGCGCCGCAAAGAAAAGAAGAAGACGTGTTTCGCGGTTCACCCGGACGAGGGATTCCTGGAAAGTGCGACGGTTTCTTGGTGCGAATGAACGGCCGCGCGGCGTGCAAAAGAGGGGGGGGGGGACGAGTGAAGTCAACCCGGTAGCCCGCACGTTAGTAACCCTTCATAAGGGGCAAAGGAAGCAGCCGGTGTAACGCGCTGGTTGGAGCGTCGGTGACAGCGCGGCGGAGTCGCCAGATGGGACTTTGCTACGGTGGGAACCTCCTGCTTCATCCCGACTTCACTCAGACGTGACACAACACAGAGGGAGATGCTGGCCGTGCACTCGCCGTCAAATGCAGACACGCACACGCACATTCTCATCGTTCATTTTGGGGTTTCCACTCACCGCTTGAAGTGCTCAATGATTTTCTCTTCTCGCACGTTTTCGGGTAAATTTCCCACCCATAAATGTCTGGTTTCCCGGACCATACTGTGTGCTCCTGCTCCCCTCTCATGCAGATGAGTTGGCTGTGTCAGTTTTTAATCCCCGTGCAAAATAGAAAATCTTTGCAAAAATAAATCAACGGAGCATAAACAAAAAAAAAATAGAGTCAAATCATTGACTGGTCGTTGTGACCCAGTGTGAAGCATTAGGCTGGATCCCCACACGCTGTTAGATACTCTTCACTGTTACAGCGCGATCATTCACTGCGTGAACGCGCTCCGGACTGTTCCCGTGACTAGGCGCGTCCCTGACACCATGCGACCTTTTGGGTGTCGAAAGAAAGCATGTAGCTTCCTAAAAAGATGCAGCAACTTCGCTTGCAACGAGCGGCACACCGCGCAGGCGTGGCTTTGTGTGTGAACTTCTTTTTTTCTCCCTGATGAGATAGCCGCCCGCCACTGCGCACGCGCGAGAAAACCCCTGTTTGAATGAAGGTGCTCTGACATCCGAGAAGCTTTGACTCTGCAGGAGGCTCCCATCAGCGCTAGTTCCAAGTGGGGATGCGTGTAACTTTGCATTAATTGACACGCTAAATGAACCAGGGTTGGATTGTTTTAAAGAGCTTTTGTTCATTTGACCATTTTATCAATGCACAGTAATATTATCACCCCTTGATTTACCAGGTGACTCATGTGGGCCAAACCGAGCGCAGCAAAGGCTTCCGGATTGCTCTGATAAGGCTAAAAGCTTGTTGGGGTATTTCCATCATCTATCAGTGATTAATAATAATTACTGGATGTACTTGGTTCTGGGATGGGCTCCAACCCCCTGTGATTTTTTTCATCAGTAAAACGAAATTCCACGTAGGGATTTAAGGGTCTGCAAAGTTCTCCCTTTCATTTAGAAAGTGTTGAACATTTTGACCAACAGTACAAACTGGCAAGTGAAGTCGGCAGGAAACCAAGGGCCAATTGTAGGATATTCTAATCTAAATGTTAATGATTAGAAAATGTGAGGCTGTGATGAGCTTTAGTAAATAACAGGTTGTGACATACTCTAAGTCACGATCTGTTTAAAGTGCAATCCCTCAGTTATTGCTCTGGTGTTATAAAACAGCCTCACGAGACAGTTTTTGGCTCATGCATTTAGCAGGAAGTACTAAAAACGTTCCAACAAAATAAAGGAAAAGTATTGTAAAGAGATTTGGAACATTCATGCCACGTGTTTAGTGTATACGTGTTTGTCGATAACAAATTGTGGTAAATTTCAATAACATGCCGTTTCCACAGTCTGCCGCTGAAGGAGACTTTAATCTTGGAAGGAAAATCTGCAACTTGTGGATCACCAAAGCTGAGCCATTAAACACCAACCAAAATAAAAACATTATTGAAAAGGATATTCCACAAAAAAAGATGGTTTAAAAGCTGTGTGATTGACGTTTGCATACACATAGAAAAAACAAAGCAGTATAAACATTCCTTTAACATGTTCCTTTAACAGTTCACTTGATCTATTTCAGAAGAAGAAGATTTGTAAAAATCACAAATGAAACAATCATGCTGTATTACTGGCTGACATATTGACACAAAAAACGATAGAAAAACCCCAAACCCTGCCACAGTTTAACACAGAAATGGGCATATGAAACAAAACGTTTATCATGAGCTTTATCATTTGTCTGATTCCCTTGTCTCAAAAATCCTGCCCTGAGCTCAGTTTAAAGCTAATTAGTAACACGAGCAACGAGGTCCATGTGCAAAGGTACAAAAGACCAGTGATAAACATTAATGATGGGCAAATAAAAGCGGCGCTGGTTTCCTTACGTCATTCCTCGACGGACCATCTACCTGTTTTTGTGATGTTTGTGCAGCTTACGTGAACATATGTTAACCTTTAATCTGACATGAATGGAATGGTGAGTTCCAGTCGCTTCTTGGTACATTCCTGCCCATACAAGCCGAATGTAACAGGGAGGGGAAAAAACAGAAGCGCTCTGTTACTACACCACGGCGTTATTCTGCTTCTGTTACTATATTAAGCACGCACATGAAAGGCGGAAGTGCGCTTGCGTTGAAATGCGGTAACGAGGGACTCGCGCGGCGCCTCTGCGCATGCGCGCGGCGCTCCTATCAGACGAGAGCAGAAGAGCCTGGAAACGTACCGAGGAGCCGAGCAGTCACTCCGGCGGGCACCAGCGCCGCGTCCGCCCAACGCGCCCTGACGTGGAGCTCTATGCAGTTAAACATCCAATGAACCCGCGGGAGGACCATTTCCTATTTCGGTGGATCGACTAGACACCAAAACTCAATGTCCGCTTCAGTGATTCTCAGACGTGGATTATCTCGGGAACCGGACCGTCGGGCCACTGCGCATGCTCACTTCACTCGCCTTTTTCTTTTTTACAAGGAATGACGGGGCTGGTGAAACAAAAGACCGTCTCCTGGGATATGTTTCTTTCAGGCCGCAGCTCTCAATAAAGACACATGCCGGCGTCAAAACGCGGATTTAATGAGACGCGCGTCGCTTGTAAAGTCCGTCGAGATTTGTGCGTCGCGAAAAGACGAAAACAAAAAGAGTCACAAACATCTCTTCAGGTGTCATAAAGCCAATAAAGCGAGTGTATGAAAACCCGCGTGGGTCACTGCCGTCAACCGGGCTGCGCTGCAGGTATTTAGAGGCAGTCAATTACCGAGGGCCCCCTCCCCTGTCCCCCTCTGTCCCGCTGTCCCTTTCTTTGTCCAACGCCATTTTGTGTGACTTTACAGCAGCAGTGATGTCGTCAGCCATTTTGCCTTTTCCCCCCTTTCCACGTCGACGGGAGACGAGCGGGAGGCGGGATGACCGCTCGAGCCAACGCCATTAACGCGCAATTAAAAGGAGCTCAGCGGGGGGGCCGCGCTGCCCGGACCGCGACTTAATGTCCGCATTTGTTCGCCTTCCGCAGCTTCCGGTGTCCGCGGCGGCGGAGCGGGACTGAGAGCCGCGTCGTCTTTGAAAAAACGCGTTTTTGTTGTAATTAAACGGACAAGTATTTGTTTTACTGCAAAAAAAAAAAATAGACGTGAATCGTGTGTGTTGGTCTGATGGAATTAACTCGATATAAAATTCAGTTTGTTAATGAGGCGTCATCATGTGTAATATGCATTTTACATTCGCATCGACTGCCTTTGTGTGGTGGGCTCTTTAAACATATAATATAATATAAAACGGAACTTTTGTTGCTGGGAAGGAAATAAAACACATTCTTGAACCTCCCTGATGAGAATGGGCCAATAATTAAGGCTTGGTTACAAGCAAATGCAAAACATGTCTTATTTTGACCGGCATCTATCAGGTTGTGGAAAGAGTTACAAGCTCCGTGGAACAAGGAGGAGTAAAGTCTCCCACAGAGTGCAGCATTGATTTAACACAGGCCCCTAGAATAACATCCAGAGTGAGTGTTAACGACCTGTCAATCAGCAAGAATAACAGACAGAAGAGGATCCGTCCCTGAGGCAAGAGGGGTTGAAAAGAAGCACAATCAGCTATAGATGATTCTCTGGATCATATATTAATCCAGATGGTTATTGGTGTTTTTTTAATTACATTTTTTGAAAAACAAGATATTTAATGGCAGGATTGCTCCTTGGATTTTTTTAATGAAAACATTACATTTTAAATACAAAGCCATTCCTTGTTGCCGTGGATCTAACAGGACTCATAGTGTCATGAAAGTGGAGTGACACCGGACTGTCTCAGAGGGTCTATCTCCGATGCTGCTTCTCTTGCGTCTGTGCTCTTCGTTGATCTCTTTTGGTGTAGTGTGTGTAATCCTCCTCGTCCTGCGTGTACAAGTATGACAGATGAACCCACATGAATCACATCGTATTTTATTACATCATATCAACACTGTTATATTGAACATTTGGGGGGGCGGCTCCAATCGTATGTTTTCACATTTCTTAAGTTAATTCTATAAAAAACAATTTCCTTAACCTATTTATTCTCTGAATAAATACAACCCATGTTTTAAAGCGACTTTACAGGTGCAGAGCTTTTTCAACATGGTTTGCTCGGTGAAAGCAGAAGTAGGTTCATTACTTTGACCTGAATCCGTCCTGGGGATCTCACACCTTCTCCGCCTGGGACACAAGTTTGAGAAGTTCATTCTCATCTTGGGACCCAGTCTAACGAACACATTGACATTCTGCCCCAGTTTTGGGGTCCCGTTGGGCAGAAAGTGCCCCCCCCACGGGCTGCTTCCAGGGAGAATCACTGACCTGTGACAATGCGGCATCTAGCAGATCCTTAGTGGGGATCAGACAGCTGGCCTCACCCAGGAAACACATTAGGATGTGAAGCACGTCGGCCCAACGTCCAACAGTCAGCATCAGGACCATCAAACCACCGAGACGCACCACCACGGTGTTCAGGACCGCCTGGCCCCCGGGCGCGCGGTGCTGCTCATCTGCTGAGGCGAAACACGTCATTAGAATGGCCTGTTTATGCGAGTGTTGCGCCGTCTGCCGGTCGTTTCTCACCCTGCATGTACACAACCAGCAGCGTGTAGCAGATAGTCAGTGGCGTCCAAAACCTGAGGGCCTCAGTTGCAGAGAGGAAGTGTTGATTGATGACCGACACGGCGGCCACCACAGCCACGGAGAACGTGATGATCATGGTCCTGCAAAGGCAGGGCTGCAGGCGGCGGCCCCATGCCAGCAGGCCGATGCAGATTGCGCAGTAGCGCTGCGAGCTGTGGAGTTTGTACAGAGACACGACGTGGTGCAGCAGGAGCGTGGCCCGCCTCGCCAGGAACCAGCTCAGCCCCGCGGCCACGAGTAAGCACAGCCAGCGCTGGGACGCCCCCTCGTGGAGGAAGTGCAAGCTGCAGGTTAACGCACAGCCGAGGGAGAACTGGCTTTGAATCAGCAGCTGCTGCACGAATGTCTTTGACCCCTGGGGACATAAAGGAGAAGTGTGAAGAAAACTGATGGATGCATGCAAGCACATGATGGTTGGTTGTTATAATACATGCCGTGATTCATCAAAATTAAGCACGTAGGTTGGGGCAGAGTTAGGCACATTTTCAGCACATGAATGGCTTCTTACAGGTCCTGCTGTAAAGAATCCGGAGATGGCGCGAAGACAAAACTCCAGGACCACCAGGGAGGCTACGCGGGAGCCCACCACAGCCAGCGTCCCAGCCACAAAGAGAAAGTGGAGCTTCCCAACGAGTCCAGTGGTGGTTCTACTTTGATGACTGGCTGTCCTCTGGCTCGGTGTGTCATTTTTATCACTCCAGCTGTGGGTTGTGGGGAAACAAATCAGGAAAGAAACACACACGTTAAATGGGTCCCTTCTACCAATGAAAGAGTTTTTGGATGAGAATGGAGAAAAACAGTTGATGAAAAAATGAACATAGCATTAATCCATTTGCTGATCTATTACAGGATATCTCCATAACCTCTCCTCCTTTAGAAATAAGTGCAGTCTTATCAGGGAGCACAGCACCGAGATCCCACAAGCACCGACCAGTCCTGCAGTTCAAACAACACGGAATGTTCAATTAGTCAAAGCAGTTTGGAAACAGACTGCAGCGACGACGACATCTCAGACTATGAGGAGCTCACCTTGTAGTAAACTATGCACTGGGTTTGTATCGGGAGTCAACCACCCTGGTAGGAAGTAGGAAGTCGGAATAAGAGAGGTAAAAAAGGATAACATCGTGCCGCCGTCGACTTTTAAATGTCGCACGTTTTAGAAAAAAGCACGGACGTAAAAAGTGACCTTAGCGATCACGCTCTGTGAAGGATCATGGTTTGTTGGTATTCCAAATCTGGTGCCCGGAAATGTGAAGTATAAGCTCGGCCCTTCTGTTTATCTCTGTTGCCTCAGCGTTGAGCTTTGCTCACAGAAGCCTGTGCGGTGCCTTGGACCAAAGGTCACCAGGAGTGTCGGTGAAACAGAGGCCCTCGGGCCCTCTGAGTCACAGCCTGACAGTGGAGGCCATTGCTTCACACGGCAGGTGGTGCTCGTACTCTGAAGTTGTCTGCAAGCTACATTTTAACCATTTCACATCTAGGGCTGAGTTATCGGTCAATCACAGATATTAGAATGGGAAAACGGCCAATTTAACACACGCACGCACAAAACCAAGAAAAAGTGACAAAGCTGTGACCGTTTAGAACAAATAGCAATACAATGTCAAATAAAAAATAAAAATGCCAAGTATATTAAGTTTTAAGATGTTCAAAGAAAAGTGTAAATGTATTTTGAGTGAAAAATAAAGAATGCTTTATATCTTTAGGTACAATATGTGCAACTCAACAGTCAACTTAACGTCTTATTGTGAGACCACCAAAAAACATAGAATTATGTTGCATCGCCTGATCTTATGAACTATTTTCATGTGCTTAAAATGCAGTTTTATAAGATTAAAAAAACCCATGAGGATACATGGGTTTATATTCCCAGCTCGGAGGAAGCAGGTGTTCAGAACACATGTCCAGTCGTAAGATTGACGCCTGTCCGCGGGGGGGCGGCAGCGTGCAATGTTTATTATTAATTGAACTGACATCCATCGGCAGAGAGCAATGAGCAGCAAACGATCAACGCTCAAACTCAAAGCTCTAAGCTCTGGAACCACGGTGAACATGAATAAAACAGCCCTGTGCAGTAATTCGCCAGAATTAGCCACAAGGCTATTTTAATGCAAACACTGTAGCAATAATATCTGATGTATATCACAGAGGCCACATGAGTGTTGAAATCTAATCTGAGAGTATATTGGTTAACTGGTCCATCCCGCGTTTGAATAAATTGTGAATGCATGTTGCCTCCACACTGTAAAAACACATTTCTCTTTTCTTATTGAGCCAAAGAGAAAATCTGTGCATCAACAAAGGGACATTATATATTCAATCAATTCACATTCTCCTGAATATCTACAGCACAGAGGTATTTTCTTATCGACACAGCGTTGGATGAGACTAGAGACAAACCAACCATAGGGGGCATAAATCGCCGCTTATCACTGAGAAAGAATAATAAAAGTGGAAAAGGTGAAGTCCAACCAATGGGTTTATGAATTTATTGGATTGGGTGACCTCAGTGAACCCGTCAACAACGACCGCGCTCTCGAGAAGAATTATGAACAAATAATGTTTAATTAAATGTAGGGATGTTAGGTTAATTCTGCTTTGTGTGGCGACGGCTGCTTTTGATTCTGAATATTTTAGTTGTTTTAGCTCTGGACTGATTAAACACTATACTTGGTTAACGTGATTTATTTCACTTTCATACACGATACATTAAAGGTAGATTTATACGGTTTGTATATTTTCTAGATTAATTTCAAGTCATAAAATATCAAATCTGCATTTATACCTGGTGTACTGTAAAAGATTTACAGTCAGATTGAAGGGACTTTGTGGTGAAACCAGGTCATGAGATAACGCGAGGAGAGCCTCAGATGACCTCACGCTGTCTGATCAGAGTCTCTCTCTCAGCGGGGGAGTCGTGGTGACGGCAGCAGGAGCTTTGGCTGCACTGGTGTCTGTTTACATCATGGGATCCCTCACAGGGTGAATAAATAACTGCAAAGAAAATGTCCCTTTTGCCTTGTTATTCCGGTCTCAAAACCTTCAATAGATACAATTTAAAAAATAATATATATAATTATAAAATAATATACATCTTTATTGTTATTTTGTGTTGCAACTATGCATCAACAAAAGAGTGACTATTAAAGACAAAGCAGAGCTCAGGCTTTGTTTAAGCCAGAGTCTTTAGTTGTGCACGTACATTTGGGACAGTAGCTTCCTCTTTGTATAAATCCTCACCTCAAGCTGTACAGCTGAAGACAGGAGTCACTGTAGATCAGGGAGAAGCGGAGTCGGATTTGACTGCCCAGTTAAACTGAATCAATCTAACATTCTGGTGAAGGATTGCTGCATTCTACAATCATTCTACAAAGTTGTTGCTTCATTACACACTAACAGAGCTTTACAGTAGTTGTATTTGAAAAACTTTTAATCACATTTTTTATTTTCACATAGTTATAAGCAGTTCCTTTGTCACAACAGAAAACATTTGAATTTGGGATAAACACACACACATCCCTCTTAATATCATATGAACCCACCAAAAACTCTCATCACGCATCCTCGACCAAAGACGTTGCAGACACCATGAAAGACACCTGCCATCACTCACTCAGACGTTATCGTGGGTGAAAAAAAAGAAAAACTCCTCGTGTGTGACTTCAACGTGGAGAAGAAAAGACCATCTCTAGAAAGCAAATTCCCCACAAAGAGAAACAACGAATCGGTTTTACACTGAAGACACATTTAAGGGTTAATGATACCTGTGCTTTGTAGATCTCGTAGATATTTCAGTTGCTATCGGATACACCAATTCCTCTGGAATTGTATTTTTAAGTTGCGTCCGCTAAATTCTTATCCTACTGTTGCAATAAAGTTCTGCATTGAAGTAATCAAACACGATACATGGCAATAAAATTACAACCGTGCATATTTGTATGGCATGCAATCAAATCACGGGCTGGGTAAAAACTACATGAGCCCGATTTGATTCTTAATGTGGGTTTCATCCGTCCAACCCTAAGCGCTAGCTGCAGCTCAGTGTGCACATCTCACCCACACACGCTCATTCTTGATGACCCCACGTGTTCCACAAAAACACGTTTTCTTTTGTTTCTTTAGAGTGTTTCAGGTAGCTCTGATATACTGTGTCATATACTTTGCTGATGATACGTTGCAGTTTTTAAAGGCCTACGTTTTCTGGGCTCTCTCTTCCACGTAGAGCTGCATCTGTTAAAGACAGACAATAAATCAGAAATCAGTAAGAGCAAGTGGGGGACACTTCAACACGACCAAATGAAAATTGATTACATTGACTGCGTGATTTGGTTTTAGGTGAAGGGTAGCAGATTAAAACTATCACATGTTTAGGTTTTGTGGAAAAAAACATCAGCACGTTTTTTTGCCTTTTGCGAAGCTGAACAGTTTAATGACATTTCTGCTCACTTTCACGATGTCAGATGTCATGGTCTTCAGTGGGATGAGTCTAGGCTCCTGCATGTGCACCTCCTGCTCATCAGCAACTATCCATGGGAAATCCTAAAGGGGGAAAATGCACAAATGTGACGCCACAGATGCATTTCACTATTCAGCGTTAACATATTACTAGAGCGGATTGCAATAATGCCAAGGAGAACCTCACCTTGATCACTTGGACCTTCTCCATGTTGCGCGTGGCAGCATCTCTAGTATGAACCAGTACTGTAAACGAACACCCTGCAACAAACAACAGGCCACAAATGAGTCTAGGATTTGTTCCTATCTGACTAGAATGTCTTGATCATTAAATGTGGCGATCATCGCACACTTGGTTCTCTTCTAATAGTCCCTGGTCTGGTTTATTTCCTACATTACACGTCATTTAGCAGACGCTTTTATCCAAAGCGACTTACATGCTTGTCCAATAGGATGGATGCATTTTGAGAAGGACCATTGCTGCCGTAGAGTTGAGTCTGACAATTGAATACCCTGAACAACTTTTCATCGTATTTTGTCAATTTGGTGCCGTACATTTCTGCACACGTAGCAGTAGTTAGTCTTACAAAAGAGGGACATCACTACAAAAAATTTGGGGAACCACTGATCAAGAGACTGATGATTTATTTTTTGTGTCTGTCATGTGCATCTCTTTTTGTACCTGGAGGATTATTATTTAAAACAGCGTCACACACGCTGATCTTCAGGATGAACGCCCTCAGCAGCTGCTCCACGTGGGACAGTAAGGTGTCCGAGCTGTAACAACACAACCGCGGGTCGTTAGCGGAACTCACTTCAAACTTTGGAAATAACTTAAGGAGGGGAAGAAGAGAACAACCTGATGGACAGCAGTGGAGGTTGGGAAATCTCAAATACAAATCTTTCTACTGGATGATGCTCCTTGTCCATGATGACCACTGCAACCTTCTCTGCGTCATTCTGGTGGGGAAATGAAAGACTTAAGTGTGTGAGCACGCAGAGGAGACACGGTCACGTTAAACAAACCTCCCTATCAGGTCATGACTTACCTTCTCAATGAGGGGCTTCACACAATGAAGTGTATCTTGGATGTATTGATTTAGCTCTGGATGACATGACATCTGGAAATAAAAGACACCAAACACTTGAAGAACCATTTTTGAGGTACAAACAGGTAAGCCCACCTAACAGAGGGAGCGAATGACACATATATCCTCCTGTACCTGCACAGGCACGTTGTATTTCTTTCTCTTCTGAAATATTCCCGAGGGATAAACTTCACGCACATACAGGATGAGATGAATAGCGACTTCCAGGAACTCGCACAGGATGTCAGCAACCACTGGAAGAGAGGAGTCAGCTGGTTAATTACGTCGAAAGTAGCACCAGACTCAATGCAAACACCCGGTCATTTAGTGTTTCCATACGAGGTCACAACAAGCAACCCAGGGCGAGATGGATCTAGTGAGGAGGATTTACAAAAACAATCTGCCGTTATTTGAGTCAATTCCATTAATTTTGTATAGTTGGAAATCCCAACGCTTTACGATCTGTACACAAACGCCATCCTTTGTACTGGAACCCTCACATCTCTTCCATGAACAACTTTTAAATATATTAAAGTGTTCATTTGACGGCAGTAGATACGTATTATTACTACAAATATGAAAGCATGTGCCCACAATAAGACTGCATGCAGCATGCAGCATACATGGCTGGTGGGTTATTTGTCCATAGGCTGAGTCCAATTTAAAGGCCGAATATGAAGTTATATAAACGGACATTTGTCATGGCAACGTTTACCAATCCAGGGGCGCTGAACCACCGCTAAAAGGACCCATAACAGGACCTTGTCATTCTGTAGGTTTGTGCGGTAAACGTACCTTGTCCAAAATTGAGATCCTGCCTTGTTAAAGTCGTCATGTTTTCTATCCAACAAACTGTCAGGCGAAACAAACAGCCGGCGTCTACCGCCAGCTAACGTTAGCAACGCGGTTGTCTGTCAGGCGTTCATTATCTTCAGGCTGGTTTTCAGCTGCTATCCTTCTTTGGTCGCTGCTCGGATTGACGGTGACAACTAACGCGAGGGGAGGATTAAAATGTCCGTTTGCACGCACATCTACGGGGAAACATCAAACACGCAGAGGCACACTTCTAAAGGACCAGGCCAATTTCATGAAACAAACACCGTTTTCCCCCCGTTTCCAGAGCGTTTCCGAAGCTCGGTGTCGCATTGTGTTGACGTCACCATTTGTTTACATGTCGCCTAGCGTCTACTAGTGATGACGTCGTTTGTCAAACAATACCGGGTTTATTTGTCGGGAATAATTACCGCTATTCCTTCCTCGACTACACTTGTGTTTGTGAATAGCCAGAAACGGGATACGAGTAGCAGAGGAATTACACAGAGAAATGCTGATTTATCACAACAACGGCCTTGAGATATAATATATGGCCACTAAATACCAGTCTCATGCAATTAAAATCCAAGGAAGAAAAACGGATACGGTGTGTTTCGACACATTATAAATCGTCTTACTGACGTTTGTTAACACGCGAAACACAGTTGTTTTGACTTTTATAAAAGTAAAAGGTTGACCTTTGATGTGCCCATTCTAAAGTTGGTATCCAGTGGTCCGGTAATCGGATTCGCCTGGAGACCAAAAACATGACTAACTTAATCTTTACCCTCCTTCATATCCTCATCCGTGTTCGTCCCACCTTTTTTATCCAGGTGATAATAAGTCAGTGTGTTGCATTTAAAGCAACCTTAGTGGTCATTGCGGGTTTAAGAAGGGTGAATGAAAACACAATTTAAAGAATAACTGAAATGTGTTGTTTGCATCTGAAAAATTAGAATAAATTGGATATGTGATATTTCTGTGTATCTAAATCAACAATGCAACCTGCTCAAAGGACAAACATCTTTTTATGAATGTACTAGATTGAAAACATTTTCTTTTAATTTTCTGCATCATCCATCCGTGTATCATCATCAAATCGAAGCCCTTCGGGTTGTAAAAGCCCATTAGAAACAGGAGGTAACCAGGTAGAATTACATTTTTATAATATATGTAGTTATATTTGTTCAAGTCAGATCACATGTGCTCATATAACTAACAGAATACGCTTGTGGCCGTCCACAAACCTCTGGACTAAACAGTCACTGCTTTATAACAGCGGGGCCGCGCATCAATCAACAAGCAGCGTGAGGCTCGTTCAATCAGGGCAGCGTCCGATGACGTAATGTTGTTCTACCAGATGCGCAGTTTTCATCTTGAAATAATCCCAAAAGATCTGCCATGCAATAAATACAATCCATAGATTTATTTTTCATAAACTTTCAGAATTCATGTTTTTCTACCACGCGGAAAAGTCGAAACTAGTGATGCATAATTAGCGGAAATCTTGCGATTCAGCCTTCAAAATAAAACCATACACACGAGGTATTTAAGAAATATACTATAAGACGATCTGTTATTTGATCTTAATTGAAGGATATCCCATTGTCCCACATAACATTTAACATCATTAAGGGGTTTGCTACAAAATATTTGACTGAGAGCGTGTTACACTTTTGAATGGTCGCAAATGAATAGTTTCACTTAAACTGACATGAATAATAATAACACAGATGTATACAACCACAACTGGAGTTGGAGGGGATTTTATTAAAATGTATTAAATAGACTTAAGACTTAACTTTAAGCTGACTTAAATTGATCAATTACATTTTGTATGTTTGGGCTGCACGGCTCATATCAAATAATATACATAAGGTTTTGTATTCAGAGGCTGAACTGAATCTGTTTACCTGCAATTTTAGCAATTCCACTTTGTCACTGACAATACACAAACCTGGACGGTCCATGTGTTTAACTGTATTTTAGACGAACTGATCAATTCGGTGGCTTTTATTCCGACAGACAGACGAGTCCAGCAGGAAAAGCCCCTGTAAATACATGTGGATTGCTTCGGGACTCGATTCCATGGATGCAGATGAAGTCAAAGATCGTTTATGTACGCTGACATTGAGGGAAAACGGATTACATTGAGCACGAGTATCCTGAAGGAACAGCGAGGTGACTCTTAAATAAGGCAGGCGATGCGATCCCGTTTGAATTGAGCCTTTCGTTGCACGTCGTGCGCGCTGCGCACAGCGGGACAACCTGCAAGTGTGAAACTGCTGCTTTTGCACGTGAAGTGTAGTTATGTTGAGAGGCTAACTAATCTCTAAAGTGAAGTTAAGTAGTTTACCCATTGGAAACGGAACTTCCTAGGTTATATAAATGGCATCATAATTCTTCTTGTGTAGTAATTATGTAACAATCAGTGTTACATAATTCTCACAGTTGAGCAGGAGTTTGTCCGAGGTCCGTTTCTATTGTAGCTGCTGCAGGATTGTTCATCTTTTTGTCTCTGTAACCCCTTAAACACGCTGCGTGCAGTTTGTCACATCGTGCAAGGCATGCCTTTCATGGAATTCATAGCTGGGAGCCTTTCCGGTAAGAAAAACGATGCTTTATTTGATATGACTAAATGCAGTATTTGTATTCATGTGGAGAAATAACACATCCTTGTTGGTCATCTGTTTAGGTGCACTCGGACTGGCAGTGGGCCATCCATTAGACACTGTGAAGGTTTTATGAGATATATATATATATATATACACACACACACACACACACTAAAATCTTTAAATTAACCAGATGCATAAAACTATACTGAGTCAGGCACTGTTTATGTTTGTAGGTGCGTCTGCAGGCCCAGTCTGTGTATACAGGGATATTTCACTGTATGTCTAAAACATACTCTAAAGAAGGGGTAGGTGGCGCGTCCTCTTAAACGTATTTCCCCAGTTATCACTGCAGAAATAGCAACAGAAAGTATTGATTTCTGTGTATTCATCTGTTAATTATGTTTTATTATCAGCTCCATGGATTCTTCAAAGGTATGGCTTTCCCCGTGCTGACCACTGGCATCACCAACTCTGTTGTCTTTGGCTCTTACAGTAATGCCTTAGATCACCTCACTCAGTCTCAGCAGGGGGGCCGCGGCCACGGAAAAGCGGCCTCCGCTGCACAGGTCTTCACTGCCGGCTGCTTCTCGGGCCTGATGCAGGTGAGGACGCCCCGGCTGGTGTTCACAGCCGCGACGTTTCTGCGGATATTACCGGCATGATGGAAGTTTTGGCCACACGTGTGAAACAGACCACATCCAGCTCTTTAGTTACGGTTTCACCAGGACTTTGTGCCCCCCCCCCCCACCACCTTTAAGAGAATCGTGTGTGGAGTCAGGACAAGTGCAATGAACTACTGGCCCCTGGAGGTTAAAATGTTCATCACATCCCACAACACGAAAATCTCGGTGAGGGAACTGAGGAGAAGCCAAAGGTTCATCTGGTGCATCAACCATGTGCATGAGGGTATTTAGGTAGACATTTAACCGCAGGCTTGGGTCCAAGTAAATGGTGTAAGGTTAAGTATAAGTAATTATTGATACATACACCTTGTTGACTCATAAGTGTGAGTCGAGTGGCCTGCGTCTTTAGTTAGACCCAAACAAAAGTCGTGACAGTAAAAGGCTCCTGACCAAGAACCTTTTCCTACTCTCGCTTACGTAAAGTTGAGTACAGATGAAGGGAACGGGTCGACCTTTCGTTGTGGATGTCGTTGCGTGATATTTGTTTGTGTGGCTGTAATCAGGTAGAGGAGACAGTACAACAATAACAATATCACAACGCCTGTATTGACTTTACTGGGATGGAACTGGTGGAACCAGTCAGCCCTTCAACAGCAAATATTAAGCTGCCACCGGGCAGGACTCGCCCTTGTTGCTTTTAGCCTGAAAATAAAATATATCTCCATGCTTATCATTCAAGCTTTTGTCTGAAAACCTTGGATAAAGCCTTCAACGTTGAACCGTGAAGAAATGATAAACATTTGGGACGAACCGCCCTGCAGGTGGGTGCGTACGCCCCCATCGACCTGGTGAAGGTGCGTCTGCAGAATCAAACCGGCGTCGGCAGATACCGAGGACCCGTCCACTGTGTCGCCGTCATCCTGAGGGAAGAGGGGCCCAGGGGTCTGTTCAGGGGGGGGCTGGCCGTGGCCCTGAGGGACGTACCCTGCTACGGCCTCTACTTTCTGCCCTACGAGGTCACTCGGAAGGCTCTGACCAGGAGCGGCGAAGAGCCAGGTCAGTGTCAGAGGGGAGAGGGCAACATCACATGTGTGAGACACTGAGGGTGATCCACGTCAGGAACGCTGAGGGGGGGTGATCAGCCAAACGTTTTCCTTTAAAGTAAAACTGATTATTCACCACCCTCACCTTTCTGTCCTCAGGTACGTTTGCAACCATAATGGCGGGCGGCTTGGCCGGCGTGGTGACCTGGTCCTTCGCCACGCCCATGGATGTGGTCAAAGCCCGGCTCCAGATGTCAGGGGCCGGCGGCAGGGAGTACAGGGGGGTCCTGCACTGCATCGCAGCCAGCTACAGGGAGGAGGGATTGAGGGTCTTCTACAAAGGCCTCCTGCTCAACAGCCTGAGGGCTTTCCCAGTGAACGCCGTCACGTTCCTCAGCTACGAGAGTCTGATGAGTCTGTACTGTCCACCCCCGAGATGAGGCGCCCTCCCAGCGGGGCGGGGGGGCTTTAATATGCAAACGCAGTTTGAGTGCAGGTCAGATACCCTCTGAGTTGCTTAACATCAGCGTAACAGTCTGACGTGTGGACAGTTTTAAGATGAGGTGAAACTTCTACAAAGACTCCAACGAAGCCCACGTGGTTCTGGACGTGTATATATATATATTTCTCTGTACATGACAAAATATGAAGGTATAACCTTAACCGGAGATGTTCACCATACGTTTTCATTACACAATAAAGTAAATGATTTTTCGTGATAAATAAATACAGAGAATGTGTCTCATTTTAATGTGGTGTCTAGTCCACCGAGTCATTCACATGAACAGCCACTAGACACTTTAAGATCACACATAAATGAACTGTGTTAACACGAACAGAATGAGGACAGCTACGTATTCATTGAGTCGCCCAACGCAGTTTGTCTTATTTCAATAAATAATAAAATTATTTATAATTATAAATTATACACATTAGCCAAATATGAGATCTGTGAAAATATTCAGTGACGGAAATTTAAATTGTATTTATTTGTGTGTGTGAGTATGCGTGCGTGTGTGTGGGTGAGAGAGTGTGTGTATGTATGATATTAATCTTCAAAGTAATATATACTAATTGAGAATATGGATAAGGTAGGGGTGGGTATCTATAAGCTTTTGCTTCCCTCTACTCCTTTTCTTGAACAAAAGGTGACTTTTTTAATTTTGTGGTCTATGTCTATGTTGATTTTTAAATTTTTTTATTTTTTTAATGTCTATATGTTCAAGAAATAAAATGCTTCAAAAAAAAATATATAGTGCTGCTTTTAGAGACTTTGTTCTCATTGCCCATAGAAGTCGAAGAATACGGGCATCTGAATTGGATATAATTCGTGTGTATCGAAGTCAGTAATGCAACGTGAAATCGCTGTTACCCAAGACAACAACAAAAGTTTCCACAATGTGAAAATACTTCCTTTTAATTTTCTCCATCAAACATCATTGCATCTGCATTAACAACCATTGGACAATATTTTCTACATAATTGATTTGCACGTTCCCAAGAACCTGTGAACGTCAATGACAAACGCACAACAAAAGTAAATCTGTATATCTTGAGTTCACATTCGAGGCAGCATTCCAACGAATTAAAAAAGGTGTAAAAAGATGCTATTCTAGTCCGTCAATATCACATTGAACCGCAGACATGAGTTGAGCTCTTTTCAAATAGAAAAATTCCCAGAATAACAGGAAATAATAATAATGTTTTGAGTCAGTCCAAAACAACTCATCTGATCACATTAAAACAAACAAAGACTGAGTAGAGCGTTCCTAAAATACTCCACATGATGCGATGTTCAGACTGAGGACATCGCGGCGGATTGGTCCGTTTTCATTAGTGGCGCCGGTTTTACACAGACTCGTACTGCAGGGAATGAACAGTGGTGTGATCCATTTTGATGAAAACTAACATTACACACAGGGATTCTTTTTGTTTTTCAGCCCGTTGGTCCGGTTCTTCGTGGTAATAACGCTGCACGACCATCGAACGGCTTCTAAACAAGCAGCTCCACCACCCAATTCTACGCCTTAGGGTGGAAGAACCAACGGTGATTGCATTTGAAACGTGCTCTACAATCCTCCGCAGCACGAGAAGATTGACCGCAAACAACCGCCGCAAGTAAAGTAGGTTGTTCTGTAGACGACCACGAAAATAAAACCAACGTTGTATTAAACCGTTTCTTCTGAAAGATTGAATGAATGTGTTGTCTGCAACGCCGTTCATTCCCTATGGCCCTTTTCCTATTGAAGGCTGCTTTCCCAGCATGCACTGGGCGGAGAGAGAGGCCTCTTACAAAAGGAAATGAAACGCATGTACATAAACACACGCCGTACTTGGAGGATGAGCATTCATTGAATGCAGTATGTGGCTTTCACATGTTCAACACTTGTCAACTGTGTCAAACGGCAAAGTCAAAGCGTCGGCCGCCTCGGCCACCGCGGCTCCGCAGTACAATCTGACATTTTATGATACAGTGTCGGCACAGAATTAAAATCTTACAGCTTCAACGGTTGAAAAATATTCAGGCATTTTGACTGATTTAGCAGCTGCTGAGCAACGGAACCAGCACACTGTGGAATACAAAAGAAAGTTCTTCCTCCAAAAAGCAGACGGAGGCCCTGAGCTTCCCCCCCTGATCAGACAGCAAAGGATCGAGGGCGCGTGAGAACACAAAACCGCGCTCTGGAACAAGTCAGCGGGTCCTCTTTGACTGCGGCGCGCGACCCCGGCGAAGGACAAACAAACGCCCAGTCATCCTCGCGGGAAAATGGTTTTTGTCCACCACCGCGATCCCATTTCAGGCAGCGCTTTGGTGGCGGGTCCCGGGTCCCATGTGCGACGGAGGAGCTCGGGCGATCGCGTCGTGCAGAAGCGGTTTGCGGTCCTGCTCTGCAGCCGCGGCGTGGAAGGAGGCCCTCTGGTGCTGCCTGGCCTTGTTGTACAAAAAGACCCCGATGAAGACGAGGAAGGTGCCGATGGCGCTGAGGAAGTGGATCTGGTTACTGAACACGAGGATGCTCATCCACACCGACAGGGCGTGTTTGACGGTGCTGGCCACGCTGAGGGAGAGAGGAGGGTTTGTCTTACTGGATACTAAAACGTTTACAGCGTGCTGCTCAATCTCACCTGAACTCTGTACCAAGATAAGAAGGGATTGATACCGATGCGGTTCATCTGAGACAGGATGCACAAGTGCATAATTATCTAGCTTTAATGGGACACCAACCAGTGCAGCTGGTTCATGCCGGTTGGGACTAGAGTAACAGGAAGAGACTCAATGTCACAGATGTCAGAGCCGCGTTCTAAGCGTGGCTGACCTGAAGGTTACTGGGGAGATCCGCCCCATGAGCGCGTAGGCAGTGACGCTCTGCAGGTGGAACAGGCAGCCGTCGAGCAGCAGCAGCAGGACGATGTGCTGGTCGAAGATGAAGCTGCGACCACTCTTGCCGATCACCGGGAAGTCCTGGACGCAAAAGGGAAGCAGCATGTCAAACACAACCCTCTCCCCCCCGTATGGTTTAGTCAAACACCTGACAGAACTTGGCAAAGTCCTCCCGTTTGTTATTCCAAGTGACGAAAGACTTCAGGTATGTGTACTGCGAATTCACTTGGTTGGCGGGAAGAGTAAATTGTCGACCTACCAAGAGGAACGCCCAGGCAGGTATAAGCATGACGACCGCGGCGGCGCTGGTGTAGAACTGCAGCTCTGCGGGGCTGAAAAACGCCTTTATGACAAGAGTTTGATGGCGCCCAATTCAAATAATGTGCCGTTATGAGGCGGGAGTCTTTTACCTGAACCTGTAACGCTCCCCACACAGCAGCTTTTTGGAGAAAACGTTCTGCAAACTGAAATCGGACACAAGAGGGTTAAACAAAGCATCGCGGGGCGGTGGGTTTGGGGGAGGTGGTCGTCGGGCGCTGCCGTACCAGTCCATGATGTTGGTGGAGAGGGCGGCGGAGAAGCCCAGCATGTTGAAGCTGATCTCCGTGGCCGTGCACAGGGCCAGGCCCGCCATGACGGGGAACAGCGACAGGTTCACCCGCAGCCCTGCACACACAACGACTCCATCACACACACAACACAACACCCTGGTCCCTCGGCGCGCTCCTAAGGCAGGGCCCGTATTTCCAGCGTCGCTGCCAACAGAAGGTGACAATGACCGATCAGTGTTGGGAAATAAACTGGTTTTAGATACGCCATTAAAATGAGTAACGCCTCGACACGTCTGCTCAAAGCCCGAGCGGAGTCTGTACAGCGACGGCACTCTATTTCTTCTTTATCCCCTTCGGATCAAGTGATAGACATTCAAATCTCCCCAAAAGTGCTGCTGTGCCGACATGTTCGGCCCCCTTTACACAGACCTGAACGCGTGTCCTCTACCTGTGTGCTCTCCGAGGATCAGCCTGGACATGATGACGGTGAAGATGGGTGCCGAGCTCTTCACCGTCTCCGCAAAAGACACCGCCACATTTTTCAGGCTCACCAGGCCCAGAACCACCGTCGTGAACCTGACAAATGCACATAAAAGGTGACGTGAATAAGGGACTTTTTGTGAAGACAAAATAGTGTCAGCGCCTAATTAATAAATCTGTCAGCAACTCAACACTACTTTATGACTGAAATGACTTGGTAAAGAGAAGAGGGAGCCACCTTATGAGCCCAACAAACAGCATGATCATGATGAAGTTGGGGGGGTACTCGGCTCTGGACTTGTGCTGGTACAGGCAGCAGGGAACACACATCTTCAGGAAGCCGATGGCCGTAGTGGAAAGCATCTGCACGGCGCCTGAGCAGCAGCAACAAACAACAACTTCACTTCAACGGGATCAAAACTAACACTAGTATGTTACATGGTCATAAAATGTGACGGATGGGTCGTCGCGGCGCAGAGGTAGAGAGGGGAACCCCAAGGTTGGTGGTTCGAGTCCCAGCTGCCCCATGTCCCAGGTGTCCCTGAGCAAGACACATAACCCTTAATTGCTCACTGGGCAAAAATGTAAAAAGCCATGAATTAAAAATGTAATTTAAGTCGCTTTGGATAAAAGCGTCAGTTAAATGATCTGTAATGTAATTTTGCACAAATGACAAATTGACCGTTGTCTTCTCTACTACTATGAGAGGAACTTGGAAAATGCTTCAAATTATTCGTGTAATTTCTACAACTTGGTCGCTCACTGACACGGATTAAATATCTAAGGCAGCTGAATGTTTCCGCAAGTCCACATCTTGAAGAAAACCGTACGACTCATTGTGTGCAGTAAAGATGTACACATAAAGAGTTTACCCTGCTAATCGCTTCTATGAAATGTCACAAAAACAATCAAAGAGGGCAATAACGTTGCAACAAAGTGTCCCGCTTCCTTTAGGTCTCATGTGTGTCCTCTGTGTTTACCCAGCACGCTGGGCTCCCCCTCCAGCAGCGACAGGATGTACTTGTTGAGGAACAGCGTGCAGAAGCTGAATAGGTACCAGAGGCCCAGGTAGGCCAGGGAGCGCCAGTTCCACACGCCGGACTCCGCCTCCATCACCGTCGTCTCCGTGACGGTGAGCTTCAGCATCTGCTCCCCCGGCAGGCTCTCGCTGCGGGACACCCCCACCTGGTGGGTGCGGAGGGGGGACAGCAGGCGCCATAGCGGGTGTAAAGCGGTCTGCTTGCAGCACGGCATCCCGCCTTACCGCCAGTGGGGCCCCCAGGGGCCACGACAGGCGGGAGGCAGGTGGCGGTTGGATGAGGTTTTTTTTTTTAAATGTCTTAGTCCATCTTTGGATTGTTCGAGGAAAGCGGCCGCTGTGTCAGTCCCGCGTCAAAAGGCCTCAGGTGCTTTATGTCCTGGAGTCCCCGGTCCTCTGCTGCAACAACACACACACACACACAAAAAATACACACAATCATCCTCCAATCATATATTATGCAAACCGTGAATGAACGCACGTTTACTTGCAGCCATCAGTGCATAGAAACAAGTCAATTCCTACTTGAAAACAACTTCTGCCCCACAGACATTATTGCCCCGTCGCCCTTCAGCATCATCAAACCCACAACACAGAGGGAATATATTAACGTCAGATAACAAAATAGTAGTGACGTGTGTGGTAACGTTTCTATTCATTCCGGACTTCAGCTGCTGCGTCGCGTCATTGTTGAAACTGTGTCACACGCACGCGGCTCCTCGGCTGCTAATGAAAACAACACGCGCGGTAAACTCCGCGTGGGAAGAAGCGAGACCGCCAGGAATCCGGATTGAACGCAAACCCCAAATTAAAACAATAAAAACTCACCTGTTGGGCTGCTTCAACTTGGGAGTGAACTACGCTGCGGGCAGCCGGCGAACGAGGCGGCGCGGAGCGGAGGGGAACAGGAAGTGGCCCGAGCATGTTAGCTAGCCGCTAGCATGAGCTCGAGGTCCGCGGAGACGACAGAGCCGGTCGCGTCGTGCGCCATTGTCCTCGACGGTGACTCTAAACGAACAGGCGCTGCTTGTCTGCGTTATCTGGGTCGGGAATCCGTGCAGCTGACTCGCAGACGTGGCTGCTGGCGACCAATGCGCCGCGTCAAGATTAGCCGGAAAAACACAACTCCGGCGGGGCCCTTCAAAATAAAACCACACGTCGCGGGTTACGTTTAGTCCAGGTTACACAATTGCTCGCACATGTTGGGTGACACATGGAAAAGTTTAGTTCGGGTCCAAACTCATTGCACGCAGTTCGAGCTCTGTGACGTTTGGCTCTTTCTTAAGAATGATATTTTACTTTGCAAGACACATTCACTGCGTTTCCGGTAAAACTCATTGCGGCTTGTTTCAGTTCCAGCTGCCACTGGACAATAATGCAGAATGTATAGATAACGTATGACAAAAGTTCTTACAAACTACTACTATGTAAGTTATTAAATGTATTTATTTTAGTGGACAACTGCACTGCCAGCGGCAACGACACTCATAAGGTTGCGTACTATGCAGTTGAATAAGAAGAATATATGATCCTGCATTACTATATCAATAACGCGAGTATCACCATAAAGATCTGTTGGCTTGTTCATTTGTGGTGTACTTTTGCACAAAGGGGAAATGATCATTCAGAATCTGTTAAATTATTGGGTTCACTTCCTCAACTAAGAGGATCATTTAACTAGATACGTTAACAGTGCGCAGGATGTGCAGATTTGCACTAAAACCACTGGGGGGCAGAAAACACCGATGAACTGGTACTAAATGTGAAGATAATTGTTTAGTGTTCATTTAGGGTTTCAAAAAATTGTGGGATTGTAAAAAATAGAATGTTTTTATTGGTCAAAGCAAGTCAACCGAAAAAATACTGTCTTTTCATGCTCCAAAACCACTGGAAAACCTCAACAACCAATTGCATCCTTGTCTTTTCTTGTTCTTTCCTGTGGTTTGTAATACAGGTCTGTTAATACTTTAAACTTTTCCCTGACTGGACGAGCTTTTCCAGAACCAGATTTGCACAGGATGAATAATCTGATGTCTGTGGGCAGAACTGGTGTTTGCTGGTAAAAGCAGAGGTCCACTTGCCGGGATTAGTGGCAAATACAACAATCTGAGTATTCCTTAACGTCCACTTAACACCTGCATGTTCAGGGATAACTGGTTCTGTCAATCACATAAAATATCCTAAGCATTCACTCACAAACACTGGACTGGCTGAAGCATTTCTGCCCTGCAGAGCAGCTCTTTAGAGCCGCAGAACAACTATTGACACAAATAGATCTTGTCAGCCAGATTTATTTCAAGTAATGTAAAGATCAGAGTCCAACAGACTGAAATGGACAAGTGTCCGTGTATAGAGACACATAGAACATATTTCTAGCCTTATGTTACTTTCAAAAAACTCGTTTCAATTCTCATTTTTAAAATTTGTAGTATTTTCAAGTTAACCCTACACACAAAACACGTTTTTGCCATTAATTCCCCAAAGGTCCTTATAAAAGCCCTGCTTCAACTTGCCATGCTTTATTAGCAGTCATTAATGACTATTCACGTGACCCAAGACATCATTATTGGGAAAACGGACTCTCACAAAGGTCCAAATTCCCTTTGGTTTCACAGAAGGATCCTTTTATGACCATCATGACTAAACCTCGGCGCTCAGAGCGACAGCACTGCAGACACACCATCCATTTATCAGCAGTCTTTATTTGTGCCGTTTGGTTGAATGAATCACCTTTTCCTCCTGTCAGGTAGCTTCCCTTTGACCCTTGTGTGTTTCTGCCTGTGTGATTACCCGTCGGCCCGGACTAGTTCCCCCCGTCCCTCGTCTTTGTGCGGCCTGCGTCTGTCTGGAGTGTCAAGTGTTGTCCTTTAGAACTTTTTGGTTGTGCCTACTTGCAGAGGGAGTTACATCCATGAACCACTTTGTTTCTGGTTCTTGGAGTGAAGCACAATGATCATACAGGAGGCCACACACTCCCTAGCTACATGTGGTTTATTAAAGTACTCTGGGAAAAAATAGCATTAGAAAAACTTACAAAAGTGGGTTAGAAGAGTTGACAATTCCAGTCACAAGTAAAAGCTGTTATTTTTGCTGTTGTTGGCTGTTGGCCTCCCGCATCAGCTCTTGACTCTTGGGTTGCAGTACTTCAGAAAACTAGATATCAAGTTATCCTGGAAAGCATTTAGAATGTAGAAGTGCTTCTAGAAATGTAGCCGGACTGCCAAAATTAATTAATTATACAGTTTATTAATGTAAAAAAAGTATCAAATATTTATTTTTAGCAATTGTACATTGTAAACTGATTAATAGACATATTGACTTTACAAAACCCATCTTACTCAAGCGTCCCATACAATATATACATACATGCTGAGTTAAAGGAATGATTGCCTTTCACAACTCAGTTGGTCCACTTTAGTTACCGTTACACTAACAGGTGACACCGTCTTCATGTTTTCCATCGGACACGTTTAGTTGAGCCAGTTTAGAATGTGTATATACGTATTATTAACAAACATGTGAACAGATCAGCCGCACGTTTCAGAAAAAGACTACAGTGGCAGAGACGTAGCGGTGGACAAACTCAAAAAAAAAACACAACAGAAAATCCTTCTTTAAATCCCCCGCAGCCCACAGACATTGTCTATAAAACCTACAGAGTTCAGCTATGGCTTAAATGGCTTTTTATAAAAACAGACGTTAAAGACACTGAAGAAATGGGACCTGGAATGATTCCTCCTGCTGTACGATCCACCGCAAGGACTACATGACTGCAAAAGAGGGGAGTCATCGCGTACTGAATAACCCAACCTGGTGTCGTGTGCAGCAGACGGCAAAGACAACAGTCAACACGCGGCTACAATGAAAATCCACAAATCACATGAAGTGCGTGACGACGTCAACGTGATGTAAACCAAAATGACATTCCTATAAAGTAATGATACGCGTGTGTAAGGCACAGTCTGTGCATTTGGGTCACTAAAGCCATGTAGATATCCTGTAAATCAGCTTCCCCCCCCCCGAGATGCAACTAAAAAATGTGTAACACCATTTCTGTCATTCATTTTTAGAAAGAGCTTTAGAAAAAAAAATCCTTAACCTCTGCTGTAGGAATTAACTGGTTTATAAAGTACTAGATGTGTCCCTGCAGTTTTTCAGACTAATGCAACGGTCGTCCACCAACGACCTTTAGTCCAAGTTCCTCCGAAGTCTCGCATTCCTCCAGATTACTGGACGAACCACCAACCCTTCAAACTGCTTTTGGATTTCATCAACAGTTTGCAAGGGAAGGAAAACAACAAACGCCATTCAAATATTTGCCATTCAAAACGCGTTTACACATTAGAACAGGTCAGAATATCTTCTAGGGTATTTTACAGACTCCTTAAAAACAGTTTTTAATGAAATATTACGATTTATATTTATTTGAATCTGAAAAAACCCTTTTTCAAATGTATTTTTTTAGAATAAATTCTACTTAAAAAAAACCAAAAAAAAAAACAACATCATTCAAGATTGGAATTGTCCCCGGTCTCTGTCCTCACCTCTCACACAATAGACCGTAGATAAGCTTCTTCTCTCTGTGGCGTTATGTAAATAAGGCTCGCAGCAGCAGCGGCGGCGGCGTTGCACTTTGATTGGGAGTATTAATGAAAACGCACGCGAGCACACGACAGGTCAGCTGGGGGGAATTAGCATTGTAAAACAAAATAGAGTTCCTGTTGAAAGGGCATTTTGAAATACAAGTTAAATAAATTGAACTGTTAAGATGAAAAATGAAGAATGGTTTTTTGGGTAGGTTTAACCAAAGACTAAAGGGTGCTTTAGAGACTGGCGCCTCAGAACTCCTCGTCCTCTGAGCTAATGTGGTTCTGCTTCTTCCTCACATTCCAGTGCAAACACTGGGCCAGGCTCTCGAACCAGTCATTGACCGGGTCACGGAAACAGATGGAGGGAACAGGGAAGCAGGAAGTGGTGATGGTAATGCTGGTACGGGAAGAAAAAAAGAAAAGAAAGATTCAGATTTTGAGTCACAGTTGCTGCGGGGGCAAAGAAGCAGAAGTCCAGGTACTTGCAATTAAGGAAACCAAAGACTGTCAACATGAGAGCGACGCAACTTCCTCCTAAAGCAACACTGAACAGTTCTCAAAAAGTATGCTTCAGAAACTCAAAAACAAGGGTAGCTTGTTTCTAGAATCAGAAAGGTGATCTCTAGATAAGATACCCAAAAAAAGAAACCTGGCTCACGCCTGTTAAGCAGGCCGGTGCGGTTACATAGAAGGGTCGAGGCGGTTCTTCTCTACTAAGGACTCTGTGGGCTTTGTCATGCTCCACTTCATTGTCTCCGGGTGTTAATGTGGACTAACCTGTCCCCGTGGCAGATCTCTTGTCTCTTTCTTCCATCGAATGACACCCAGGCGGTGTTTCTGGCATCGCGGGACAGCATTATCTACAATAATAACAGTCACAGGACGCACATGAAATGAAGTGTACGCTTTCTTAAACCGCAAACGTTTTACTTATAATTCACCTTTTAACATCCTGCAAAAGCTGCCTGACTCACTCTGGACAATGATTCAAATTCTTTAGCAAAAGGTCACTTGTGTCCACAAGTGTAATTCCGGTGGTGCGTGTCACAGCACCCAGCTTTGTAAAACCAGCGCTAAACAAAGCAGTTGCCGAACCGACTCATACGGTTGGTGCAAATACCTTGAGCTCCACCCCTGCAGGCACCACGATGGGTCTAAAGGAGAGCGAGTGCGGGCAGATGGGGGTTATCATGATGGCCGGCACGTTGGGGTGGATCATGGAAGCTCCTGCTGCCACCGCATACGCTGTGCTGCCGGTGGGTGTGGACACGATCACGCCTGAGGGGACAGAGACACAATAGCACATGTAGGTCGCACCACCCTGTGGGACTCCTCGCAGCAAAATAGTATAGATTGAATATCAAAAGTATACGGTTACTTTTAATCTAGCAATTGTTCGAGCATTCATTTGGACGGACGAGGCGCTCATTTGTTTTGCAGGAGTTGCACATGGTCGTTGCCCGTAAAACTCCAAATAAACACGCCAAATATTTTAACTCACTTTACACAGGTTGCACTTAATTATTATCTTGAAAAGACATTCAGTGCAAAACAGACTAACTACACACAAACTATGTTCTGCCAAATGTTTTGGCACAGATGGAACTTTATTTCCATTGTTCCAACAGAATACATTTACATTTAGTTTCTGTCAGGCAATCCGGCCTACTTTAAAGTGATTGCAATATCTTTATTGCATTTTTCAAAAAAGCACATGGAGAAGTGACAAAGTCTTATTTCAATCAAAACTCAACATGTACACTTGGGTTGGGGCGGAGGGGGATTTTACTGTTGTGAAACGTCCCGGTCAGACCGGTTCTCCAGTCGGCCTCACGCAACACTCGTCTACTTTCTGCCTCGTGCACGCGCTCACTCAGACGCAGGGGGGGGGGGGTGGGGGGTGCATGTGTACGGATTTCAAAGGAACGAAGGGCAATTCTTCTGAAACTGATTTCGAGCTCTACAAAACAAAATCACACTGAATATTTCCCGCTGAACATCGGGACAGCCTGTCCGTCCACTCACCGTCTCCCTGCACGGTGGTGATGAGGTGTCCGTCCAGGAAGAGGTCCACGTTGGAGAGATACGAAGAGGGTCCTCGGTCCACCACCACCTCGTTCAGTACCTGAAAGACACACAGGTTACCCAGTTTGTCACGGACTCCTGCAGCCACACGATGTTGTGATGTCACAGACACCTGGTCTTACCGGACACGTAATGGGAATGTGCCAGTAAGCAGACACTGAGACGGCCCATTAACCTCATACCTGCAGGCAGAGCTACGCTTCTTGTAATGGAGCCGATGACGGAGTTTATTTCGTACTTCTCTCACAACATGCATTTAACCCGCCCAAAAGCATCACGGTGCAGTAAGGCGAGTCGTTATGTTGAAACCACATGGCTTAGGTGGATTGTCATGTTTACAGGGCACACTGAGATCCAATTGGTCGTTGCCACGGCAACGTGGCGCAGCCATTACCTGATACTCGGCGGCTTTCCGGCTGCTTTCGGTGTCCCCATTAGTCAGGACGATGCACTTTTCGTCAACTCTGGCCTTCTTCTCGCAGCTCTCTTTGAGCACCCGGACTTTCAAGCGACTTCGCAGGACGATGGCAGCGTTACCTACACACACACACACACACACACACAACCAATACAAATATGTCAAGTGTTTTGCGTTTCACAAACAGAACAAGAGCGTCCACGCTGTAGAAAGACAGAGGTCACCAACCGTCAATAATTTGGGTGACCTGAGACTGGTAAGTGTCAAATTTAAAAGGAGTCAGGAATCCCAGGGAGCCCAGGTGAAAGGCCATAACTGGTGGAACGCTCTCCTGCAGATAAACAAAGCAAGGGAACCGTTGTGTCATACCAGTAAAGGGAGAAAAAAAGCGGCAGGAGGAACAGCTGGCCGGATACCTGGAAAAGCGAAGACGCGTACAGCAGAGTCCCATCTCCCCCGAGGCAGATGATGAAGTCAATGCGATTGGAGATGTCATCAAGATCTGAGAAAGAGACATTAAACTGTTTACTTATCTAGGCAAAGCTCCTGATTGTTTTGTCTGTATAAATACTTTCTGTACACATAACGTGCATGCAGTCATGGCAAAGTTGACTGAATGAGTTTTCATACCATCTCTGAAAGTGCAGAATTTCTTAGTAATGGTCCCAAAGTTCTCATCGTCCAAAATCGCTGGGTCCTCCAGAACCTTCTTTTCCACATATACAATCAAATCTTTCATCTACAAAAAACACACACAGAAACACAGAAACAAGAACTTTGAAAGAAGAACAGCGTCCTACAAACTGGGTTCCCATTGATCCCTCAGCAACTTCCCACCCTGAAACCCAGGGCATCATTTCCACTGCTGGCGGCCGCCCCGTCACGGTGGGAGGGGGTCGGTGAATTTGTGCTCCTACCTCGGTGAGGAATACGCAGAGCTCTTTGAAAGGCTGAAGCAGGCTGGCGTCGCGGATCTTCTTGATGACAAGGACACTTTTTGGCTGCTTGTTCCACGTCAGCCTTTGGCTGGCTGGGTCTTGAATGTGCCTGAAAACACAACAGACGCACAACGATGAGCTCAGGAGGAAAAGACAAGGCCGCACTTCCGCCCGCCCACCCAGCCACAGATACAGACCCCTCAAGCAGGTCAGGGAAGCTAACGGCACAATGCTAATGTGGATGGACAGAAGTGTGAAATAGATCCGCTTTGCGGATAAAAAAGGAGGGTGAAAGTGTGTCAGCTCTTAAAGCTCTGCGTCATTCGCGGCGAGCAAAGAGCCACGAGTTGTAAGGATCAACTCTGAGGGAAACCACCTCAAGAAAATGATTAAACCGCTCAGAAGCATGAAAAAAAAAAAAAAAAAAAAAAAAAAGGTCGTACGGAAATTTGAAAAGTATTAAAGCTGTAATTCATCAAATCGTAGTTGTCTAAACTTATTTTTATATTTTGGTATTTAACGATCCTTTACTCTCATTAGTTACAGCTGTTACACATAATGGGCCGTTAAAGAGTTCACTTTTTTAGTTGCTGCACGCATGGTTTAAATGGTCAAAAGGTCCACACAGCCCACCAATCAATTCACTACATGACAACCAGTAGCTCTCGCTTATGTTCAGCATTACACAACAACATTCACACATTCGCATGTGGAACGTTGCCGTTTGAAGCCTTGCTGGAAGCAGCTGAACCAATGAGCGGACGTCACAGACATGATACGGGAGAAGGAGGAGACGTAGCCTAAAGAAGAACGGTCAGATTATACAAGAAAACAAATAACGCATTCAGCTTTAGTGGCACACATTGTTGCGGAGTTGTGAGTTGTTGAGTGTTGCCTCTGGTCATGAAATACTTCTACAGTTTGAGGGCCGATTTGCTACGTCACATTCATGACTTGGTTTTATTGTGAAAACCAGCGGATACCCTAAATTTGCCTTGAAATGGGGATTTAGTGTAAAGGTTTATAAATAAATGTTCTTTTGGGCTCCGATGTCTCTGAACAGCCGCACAAGTGACAAACAACTCCACCTACTGCAGCAAATATTCAAGTGCTCAGGCTCAATACAATAGACACACACACACACACACAAAAAAAAAAATCCTGTGGTGGTGGAGACTAATACAAATACATGAAATACCTTCCGAATTTAAGGGATCAAACCGGTTTCATGTTCAGGTAAAACATGAAAGCTTCTCCAAATACAAATACAGAACACAAAGCACATCTCACATCTGAAGCGGTGTCGAGCTGAGGGTTGTGATCTATTCACGGACGATTTCTCCTCTGTTCACCTCAAAGCATCCACGCCCCGACCTTCCCCCTTTTCATCGAAAGCACCAGCCAGCAACACACAGACATTGACACTTCAAGTGTTACCGGCTGGACGTGGCACTATTAAGCCGTGGCATCACATTATCAGCCTCCGGGGGGGACGTATCAGCCCAACATTCAAGTTCCCTAATCGACTCCAGCCAGAGCCAAAACGAGTGAACTACTGAGGCGCTGCTATGAGTGTCTCCGATCGTCTGCTTCACATCAAACGTCCCCTCTGTTGAGAAAAGAGACTGGGCAAAAATAATCTCACCATTTCCAAACTTTGTTCTCGCTCAGGTTCCCGGGAGCGTCCTGACGTACGCACTGGTGGAACTTCATGGCTGTACACATGTAACAAGGATGAAGCGTCTGGTGCGTTCAGCTGGAGAGCGGCACTCTGTCTCGGCTGACAGAGCAGCTCCTTCTACATTCTACCAACTTCCTCGATTGCTTCACGCGGCTTGAGCAGCGGAGTCAGTTCACTTGTCCCCCCCATGCGCTGTGGTCAGGCTCCGGGACGGGCGAACAGTGGCTGCATCCACTGTAGCTATATTTGTCCCAGCGAGGACTTACCACTAAACCGTCCTGGTGCATTCTGCTGCCGAGTTAAGGCTCTCACTCGTCTTTAAATTGACTTTATCTCGGCTCAGCCCACTCGGCCGTGTCGGACACGCCCACTTCAAGGAGAGGCTTTCCTTACGGGACGGGTGTGATTTAGTGAAACACAATAAAGCAGTTCCTCAAACGAGCAGGAACACTTTGATGGCAATCGGGCCATTAATACAGCATTGCATTTCACTTAAATGATCTAAAACGACAGGATAATAACAGCTGTCTATAAAGTAAACACTGAGCTTAAGTATGAGGACAGAGGACGTGTGGGGTGGAATGCATCGATCGGCCAAGTGATTATGAATGGAAGAGTGCTTGTTTATAAAGAAGGCAAAAAGCATGGAAACCCCCCCCCCGGGTCGTTCACACCCCAGTGGGTGGCTCCAGGACCACATCTTGCCGTGATTAAAAACCACACGCCCTGAAAACAACGGGGAACATGACGTACTGACGCGCTCGGGAGACGACTGGTTCTGCTACTTTTAACCTGTCGAGCAGCTTTGAGCAAAGTAAACCTTCAATGGCCGCTGCCCCGAAAACAAGCAAGCGGCGGAGCAAGCGATGTGGCCGAGGGAGTCGGGAGGCTGTGGCCCGTCAGCGCGTCGACAGTCCGTCTCACCTCCCACCACTGACTCCTGAGTAGATTCAGGGCGGTTTGACACCTCAGCGCCTGCCTTGTTTGAATGTTTAGGATCATCATCATCTCGCTCCATCGCTAACCTCGTGGTCACCGTTTGCTCAAACAGTACAAAGAATAATACACGTGGCGCCAAAACACGGCAAACCAAGTCACTTTACATGTCGTCAAATCAAAAGTGAGGGCGACTGCGAATGACAGGTGCGCGTTTGTAAAGAGACGTGACCTCGTCTTTAATATTAGGACGCATTCTTTTCACCGGTGCAAGTCGCAACCAAACAATCAAACACTGTTCAAATCCACAGAACAAAGTTAGTAAGTCTATGCTGCGTTGACATGTGGTGGAATGCGTTTGAGTTTCCGCTACGTCGGAGGTGACTGCATAAGAGGAAATTAAGCAACTGACGTGCAACACTGGGCTGGTTATAAGCTTCTCATAAAGAACATGTTTAGAACAAACAGTACCGTATAGTGTGCTGTATTTAGCACTTGAAGGAGAATGGCTTTTAATAATTGACTCATTAGAGAACAAGTAAGACTCAAGTCACTTGCCTGCTCAGATTTTAAAATAACAAGTACATACGTAAACAGTGAGTTTGATGTCAGTTTCTTTAACGATTTGACCAATATTGAAGCTCAACACACTGTGCTGCTAAAGTAGTTAGCTGGTGTGTAGCTGGCAGGCGGCGGTCTGTCGCGGCGTTAAAATGGTCTTTGTTGGTCAAGTCACATGTTTAACACTTTCTACACATCTAGTTTCTCTTTAAATTCCATTTACTTTAAATGGGAAGCTTGATGTTGAAGCTACATGGGAACTTGGTCCAACCATTCGTACGCAGGTAGTTTGTCTTTCCACAGCGTCTGCTGTGAGTGGAACGCGGCCTATTTTTAACAACAGGTGTTATTTATGCAAGATGGGGAAAGTTTAGTTCATGTGTCATCTCAAAGTTAACCGCTGTAGGTAAAATGGTGGAAAGAACGGTTTAACATTAACAGCGTGCCGACTGACCGAGCAACAGAGTCCTGCCTAACAACACCTCAGCGGTCAAGCCGTCCACTGTGATGAGAAGCGACTCACATTACGGTGTGTGGATTCTGCAGCATGCACGCCTTGGGCCCGAACTTGGTCACGGGGCTCGGTCCATGAAGTGACTGAGGCCTCCTAGAGGAGAGGAGGACAGAGGGGTACACAGGTTAAGGAAACAGAAGCTGCCGGTAAAGTACAAAGTATCCGTACAATTTGTTAGAGAAAAGCAAACACTTTTATCAATCACAAGTGCTCTACGTACACTTTATCAGTAAGTGACGAAATGAAGGACAACAGTTTTATAAAGACAAGGCCCTTCGCAAATATTACATAATTGCCATGATTTGAGCTGATCGCTTTGCTTAAATGTAAAGTACCAGGTAACAGAAATGCCAAATAGTGAATCAAGTGTTTTTAATGCTGCTTTAAAGTGTAAAAACATTTCACGTATGTACAAGTTTCCTTTAACTGTAAACTTGGGAGAGACTTAACGAATATTGATTCTAAACTCAAAAAAAAAAAAAAAAAAAGAAGCGAGGTTGAAAGATACACATCTCAATTGATATTTAAATAGCATTACTTTTTCCACACAGGGTTTGTCTACTACAAACCGGACCTGCAACTTAATTACCGATCAACATAACAATTATTTTCTTTTGATCCCAAGTTCCCGAACAACATTGAAGACTGAAAAAAATAAGAGTCCAGAATTACACCCTAAAATGTGGAGTAAAAAAGGAATGTAAATACATACAACTGCATGTGAACATGCTTCTGTCTATACCACATGCTATCACCAATGTTTTTTTTCAAAGACATGCGAGCAGAGAGAAGCCTGTAATGTCACTTGTTTTATTATTCTCTTTATTTCAGGTTTTTATCTAAAATTAGTTTGATTCAACGCACGGTTCAGCAAAGAAAACCCACTTCCCTAATCTCTGGTATTTATGAGTCACTGACCGTAACATGGCCAAGTAATTCAATAGAATTAATCACCTCCCTATTACAAATCTAAACAGCTTTTTGTTTACCTGAATCCCTCACAACGACCTTCTGCCAAGTTTCATGAAAACAAGTAGTGTCCATAGAAGATTAGGATGAACTCAACAAAGCCGCATGCCGTGGGAGTGCATTACGTCATCTTGGACAAGTGTTACCGCCGAGTGACATTTCATTAAATGGGAAATTCCTGATTTGTTCTGTGGGGACGTGGCCCAATGGCTTTGCCCCCCTTCCTTGTTAGAAACCGCCTCGCAACAATAAAAACAAAACCCCTGGGAACATCCACAGCAAACAAACAACTCAGGCCTTTCTCTTTCTGTGTCACTGCAGCGCAAATCAAGTCCCCGCTTCAGAAGTTTGTCTCACAGCGTAGAACCACAGCAGAGGTTTATAGATAGAGATCAGGGAGTCTGTGTTATCGCCTCGTGGCAATGTGCTGAAATGTGCCTCTGACCTGCGACACCCGTTTCAGGTTGAACAGCTTAAACAGCCTTTGAATAGAAAGTGCATAAACGACAACACCAAAACGTAAATTCCTCAAATCCAGGCATGGTTACTTAAAGCTTAGGTCATACGAGGCCTGTGAGACACAACAAGGGACACCGGGACGTCTGCTGATTCACATGCACGAGGCGAGGTTTGCTGTAATTGGCAGAAGAAAATATCGGCCACAAACAACCTGCACCGTGGTTGCATGAGAGCGTATAAACAACGAGGCTGTAAAGTGTAGTAGTTAGTAGTACTGCATTTGTTAAGGCACACAAAAAGGCTTTAAAATCCCAGAAGGCTATTTACCGACATACTCCGTTATTGTAGGAACAGAAATGTCACAATCTCTTGTGGGGGTATTAACCAGATACTGTATTTCTGTCATCCGGCCGGAACCAGAAAGGCTAAAATGCAAAAAAACATGCGTGTATTATGACTATTAAACTCCAGTGGTTAAAGCCATCTATCCGATTATTATTATTAATAATAATAATATTACAACATTAGTATTAGAACAGTCGAGAAAAGAAAACCTATCAGATTAGACAAACAAAAAGACAACTCACGCCACATTACAAAGGGAAAATGTCCTCACGGACAAAGCGGTCCACACGCACCTGTAGTCAGAGGAGCTGGCGGCCGAGCAGCTGCTCAGGCTTCGGGTCTTTCTGCTGCGACGCGCCAGGCTGCGTCCGGACGCCTCCCCTCCATCACAGGTGGAGCAGCAGTACGGGGCAGCTTCCACGCGCACCTCCTCCCCGCGGTCCATCGCAGACAGCCGGGCTGCGAGCAAACTGACGAGGCACGTCCGTTGTTAGTGGCGCGCGAGCCGGTGAACTTCCGGTCAGTTCAATAAGAGTCGGTATCAAGTCGAAACAAAAGTGAGTTTCAAAGAATGAGCAGAGTTTTTAAAAAAAAGTCAATTTTAAGTTTATTTTTTACGAGTAAACGTTACTTCATGTGAGCTGACCGTTTGATAGCCAGCTGGACAAATCACGTGACGTTAGCTCACCGAGCTGTCATTTAGCTAGAGTTACATAACCGCTAACGTTAACTTACAGCTGTGTAATAATGTCACGGCTACATAAGCCAAGCAGCCGCGTTAGCGAACGTTAGCCTGCTGTCCAACTCGCATATGTCCAGTATTTTATCAATTTTAGCAACAAGCCCTCCAGCACAGCATTACATGAGTGTTAAGAGGATAAAGGGTGACGAGTCCAGATGGCAGGGTTCACAGTGAGCGGACTAATCTAACTTGCTAAGCTAGTTAGCGGGCTAGCTAATAGTTGGGCATGCGGAGCGTAAAACCGTCCTCTCGTTTGGAAACAGTACCTTTCACTCACAGCCTTACACGGGACGACACAAGTGTGGAGGCCAGCGAACTGCTGTTGGATCAAAGCCTCGCCATAATTTCTATAATGTTAACGTTAGGTGACACACGTCTTACGTTGCAAGAGACCTGTCAACAGTCAGCCCATCACTTCCGGATACGACCCGACCAATCACAGCCTCGCTCCTCATCGACGTCATGTTGCCCGACTTCTCCAAGCTGGCCGGAAAGTCATGATGAACAGGATATATAATGAATGCACTGATTGGAACAAATGGAAATGATTAACTATGTAATTACATTATGACTAGGAAACATCATTTTACAGGCGTTTCCCTTGTGAGCTTGAATTCACAATGTTTGTTCTACCGATTAGTCGTATTGTATAATAAATCACAAAAGAGGGCTTTCATGTATTTATGCGCACATAACGAACCCTGTGACAAATTGAGTGCTCTCCATAGAACTTCATGTGTGACATGTCGAATCACACAAAACTGAATTTTTCACAGTTGATAATGATTCAATTGGACTGCTTGTGGCACAAATCGATCGCCACAGTGATAGCGCCACCTTCTGGCTCATTGCTGACACATCTACCTGTTCATCCAAACCTTTGGAATAATAAGTCTCAAAATGCACGGAGCAATGAAATACAGGACTTTTGATTTAATCGTTTAACGCAAAGTACTGCTGAAATAATTGGATGGCAATGCAACTATGAGAAAATGAGTGTACAGTGACGCCAGGCTGATTCAACAGTGGATAAGAAATTGTTTATTTGACTTGAACATAATTACAGGGAAACCAAACAGTCTGCAACATTCTAGCTTCAGTGGTAACCTCTTTAAGTGAATCACACTCAACACAGTAGGTCATCTCAAACTGCTTTTTATTACATCTTAAATAACAGTACATTTTAATATAGTTTCTATCTTGCATCCAGCTTTCGGTTGTACACTGACTGACTTTAAAATTAAATACAAAAGGTGAAAAGGGAAGAGTGGGGGTGCAGAGCTCTACAGTTATTTGATGGAGAAAGAGAAAAGGGAATTTAATTAATTTTTTATAGTTTTTATTTCATTTTACTTTTTGCCAACTCCAGGCCTAACGCACAATTACAGCACATTTTTTGTACAGAATGTCGCAGAGAAAAAAAACAGAATGGAAAAAAAATGTCACTACTGCTAAAGAAAGAGCGTCTCTGTTTACAAGGAGAAAGGAACAACAGAAAATTCTGCCATTCAGATGCTGCAAGATTTTTTTTCTCATTTTTTATTAAAGGACAGAAAAAAACCTGTTATAAAATGTTTCTTTGTAAGTGGAATTTGTTTGCTACAGAAGGAATGAAAATTTGTTCCATTTGAGATTGTGTATGTTTAGGTGAATGAATGTAGGTATGCATGTGTATACAATTTGAACATTTTACGTTGCTTCTTAATTTGTGGAATCCCTCCCAAGTATGGACCAAGTAACCTTTCATGTTGCAGGGTTTGCTTCTCATGTGCATAGCTTTGACATTTTAGTTGAATCATGTATGCACGGAGTAGCCAAAAGGGAAAAAAAGAAGAAAAAAAAGGAAAAGAAAAATATAAATACCATTGTATTGATATATTCAACAGGTTATTTTCTTAAAGAAAAACATCAAAGGACTTAATTCCATATGCACCTTTTTAAGCAATTCTACAGCATGCGATTCTAAGAGATAACCCACCCATGGCAGACAACCAAAATCTTTTTTTTTCATTTTTAACTTAAAAAGTTTCAATATCATTATTTTCAAACATTGATTTATACAACATGTCATTCACAGAGTAGTAACTGCATTTCCAAGCACGGAATGGGCACCTCTGTTAAAAGAGAAACATCCGGACTGCAACCGGGCTCAAGTGGAGGTACCAAATCACATCACCGGTCCCAACCACGGGCAACAGAAACCAGGGGAAACTAAATTAAAGGAGGAAAAAAATGAATAAAAAAGAGGGGCGGGGTGGATTATGAACCGATGGGTTAATCTTCATTTAATTATTCTACACTGTCGCCAGACAAAAAGGTGTAAGAATGGTTAAAATGGTTGTTTTTTGTGTTTTTTTTTCATTTCAAAAATGAGCATTCATCCTAAACAGCGTGTGCTTGGTTAGTTAACTTGTTGTTTTTTTTACTTTAGACATTATTCTATATATGCAAAGTTTAATTTTTGTGCAAACAAGGATTTGTGGACTACACCGGAAAAAAGAAACCGTAAAAGTATCACGGAACAAAATATACAGTAGGGCCAGAAGTGGCTTGAGGACTCCCTGTTGAAGCTCAATTCTCTCACTTTGTTCTCCAGTGGGATAAAGCTGGATTTAAAATGACATGATCTGGAGGTTCTTCTAGCTCTCAACTTAAAAACATTCTCTAAAATGTGGAAAGACAAGGAAATAAAACAAAGTTGTGACCCTCAACGCTTCACTGATCTACTTCTCTTTAACGAAAAAAAAAAAAAAATCAAAAAAGGAAAAAAAGAGCCAAGAAACTTTGCCAAAAAAAAAAAAAAAAGCGAGTACGAGTTCAATGACGTTCATGTTCACTCAGACCTGTGCGTAATGAGGACACAGGAAAGGTTTGCTTTAAGGTGGCTTAATACAATTCCAGACCATGCCAACAGGAGGAAAGCACAATTTCCCCCTCAACCGAATTCCTCAGGCTTTTTTTTTGTTTTTACTTTTTCGTAGCTGAATGAGTGACAAGACAATTGTGCTCTTTCAAATGAGAACGGGGGAGGAAGAGAGAGAATTTTTGCCCTTGACAGATTTTTGGGGTGTTTGGAGTCAGTATCATGGTGTTTTTTGAAAAGATGGATATGCAATAAAATTGAACATTGTGATGTTGGAATGGTCTTCCACTCAACTTTGGAGTCCAGATGCCATCTGGGGAAAACAAAAAGAATGTAATGAGATGATCAGCATTATTCAGCTATACAAGTCATCGGCCACTGCACATCATTCAATTCAGGGTTGATCATACATGTATATTCCTGCTTGATCAGCACTTATAAGAACAAATATTCTCCAACTGCAGACAATAGATTAACTTTACTTCCTTTTACTTATGCTTGTGTTCAAATTCATTGTCTAAAACAATATCACCAAAAATGTCTGGAGCTGTGCAAAGAAAAAAACTCTGGTCATTGAACAGTGAAGCGACATTAACAGGATAAAAGTAGTCGACGTGATAACATGTTTGGTTTCTCTCCGTTTTAGATGTTGCACCTTCATTCCCAACCTCCAGATGGCAGTCTCTACAAACTCTAGACCCGCTTCTATCTAGCTGCTGCCCCCCCCCCCTCACACATCACAGAACAATGGCCAGGTCTCCGTTTACCTTCAGACTCTAGTTCCAGATCTTGAGGAAGCTGTCCCAGGACCCTGTTGCCACTGCCATGCCGTCGTCGGTCACACCCAAGCAGCTCACCCGGTTATCGTGACCAGCCAGGACACCTGTAGAGACGCCAGAGGCTGAGACGCGGCAACAAACTTGGCCTTGCTTACGAAGGACATGGATAACAGAACGTGTTGGAGATAAATGATGGGGAACGAGCTGATGGAGGGGAAGAGGGGGTGAAGGTTTCATGTTTGTTGTCGTGATACCAGCTGTGTTTTTCTTTGTGTGGTTTGGACCACAACAAGAGGGAATACACAGGACTAATTGAAGGTAAATACTGACCCACTGCGCTGCGGAATCAATATTCCACCCACCAAAAGGATCAAATGAGTGTGTGTGTGTGTGTGTGTGTATTTGAAACAGCCTGCTCAGATGTGGGCCTCGTCTGATCCCTGACCCTCTATACAATCGATCGCTGTAAAGTATTCATGGCTCCACAGGGGCAAAGGGCTGCTGGGGGGGGGGGGAAGGGGAAGGGCGCCTGCTGCGCTGCCATTTTTTTTATTTTATATACATACACACACGTACGCCTTCTATACTGTGGCCCAACAAAACAGCTCTTATCGAACTTATCACCAGCAAACGGCGAAGACCAAAATCGCAGTGGAAAGAGGCCCTCAGTGGTGGAGGAAGAACTCTGGCAGCACATACGTACAAATACGCACAAATAACCACAAGTAAAGTCGCAATGCTTTATGCACCACTTTGTAATACCCGGGGAGCAATTAGAGGTTAGGTGTCTTGCTCAGGGACACTTCGACATGGGACATGGAGCAGCCGGGGCTCGAACCGCCAAACTTGTGGTTCCCAGTGCACCCTCCCTACCCCTGCGCCATTATGCCCGTTATGGTTGCAGTGAGTCACCCTGGTCCCATCTTACATTTAGTGGTTTATAGCGCCATTGACGGCGCGCTGGCTCCTCACTGGGAATTTTGAACCAGCCACTCCCGTTCGTGCGACCCCCTCGAGGCGTTTGCTCGCACACCTAGCGGCTTGTTCTCTGAATTTAAATGGAGTGCGTTTGTGTGTAGACGAGGAGAGAGCCCATCATCTGTTGCGTGGATTGGTGGATACACACGTGGCCGAGAGTTGCGCTCTACAGAGTTTCCCTTTCTAGTTTAACTGTATTTCTGATGTGGCATTGTAAAGGGAGCCATGACAACGCCATGGCCGACTAATTAGTACGTTTTCAATCTGTGAAGGTCAATACAAATCAAAAAGACTGACAAATCAGTCATTTATATTTCAGTACTCGCTCTCCCTCAGCGGGCTTCAGGACACTATGCTGCGCTGTTTGGACAACGTGATGGTTGGTTGTATAATATGGCACCCAAAAAAAAAAACAATTGACAGCCCCGCCCACTTTCTGCAGAAACAGACCAGGTGTTAAGAGGAGTGAAAAGCAAGAGAGCTAAAACCATGCTACAGAGTAGTTCTCCACATTTCTCAGGTTTATCCACAATTACAATAACATCAGCTTTACTTTAAAAACAACAGCTGGCACAGATGTGGTTCATTTCTTCAGCATATTTCTGAACGGGGTCGACACCAAAGTGACTTACTGCTGACCGATCAAACGGAGCAGCCATGGAAGTATTGACCCCTTGACACATTTTCAAACCGGCCCAAACTGACCAATGCAACCACGCAGCTCCCCCCTTTGTTCTGGCGCCTTACCTGCACGGTCGGCCTTCAAAGTGTCCCAGACGTTGCAGTTGAAATCGTCGTAGCCGGCCAGCAGTAGGCGGCCGCTCTTGGAGAACGCCACGGAGGTGATGCCACAGATGATGTTGTCGTGTGAGTAAACCATCAGCTCCTGGTCGGCACGCAGGTCAAACAGCCGGCAGGTGGCGTCGTCTGAACCAGTGGCGAATGCGTTGCCGTTGGGGAAGAACTACAACAGAGGTCAAAGGGGGTTTTCAATGTTGATACTGGTGTGCAGGCCTTGAGTTCCGAGTGAGGATACAAATGACTCCAATGACTCCATTTAGTCATTGTAAATGATTTAGTTAATTTCCTGAGGTTGTGTAATACGTTTCTTCCGTGCTTATATGGCCCTGGAGCATCACATTTTCTTGCTCTGCGACAGACTTACTCTAAATCTTATGACCCTCCTAACTAGGACACGGCGAGGAGGAACGGAGACTCGACACCCTCATGTGATTAGTAGATGACATGTAAAAGAGTGTGTGTGTGTGTGTGCGCGCGCGCGCAGCCTTACGCAGATAGCGTTGATGTCCGACTCGTGGCCAGTGAAGGTCTGTCGGCACATTCCTTCTCTGATGTCCCAGAGCTTAGCCGAGGCATCGCAGGCCCCAGACACAAACAGCCTGGTGTCAGGCGCCAGGGAGAGACTCATTACATCGCCAGTGTGACCGGCAAAGGTGGTCGTCTGCTGACCAGTCTCAATGTCCCACAGAGCACTGCGAAAAAGCAGAAGAATGTCAAATTTAGCATTGGGGGTGGTTAGCACTCCAATCAGTTCTTGCTCAATAGACAATAAGAGATTTTTAATGACTCATTAAACATAAAGTATACATTCAGAGCAAGATTTGAAATTTCTTGAGTATTTGTTTTTGAGCAGCAAAAGTATCTAAGCTATTGAAAACAAATCAGTAATAGCTCACTGTAAAAACTTCTAAAATGTCATTAAAATAGATAAGGGCAGAACATGGGCAGATATTTAACTTCCGCCGGTTCCAGCAGAGGGCTGCTCCATGTCAGCCAGCAGACACGTCTGCAAGAATTTGCCAAATTTAAGATTGATTCAGATATCTTTTGAATTAGCTTGTTTGTAGCAATTTGCCATTAGCCAAGCTAGCGCAACGTGCTTCTTTAAGATACAACAGCGCTGCATAATAAAGCATCTGCTGACAGAGCAGATCTCTACTTCTTCATTAATACACCTGCTCAAAAAGCACAAATGTTGCCTTCAGCTTTCAAAGGTTTGATTGGACTGAGAGTAACTAGTTCAGCTGTTGCCAACTCAAGTGGTCTTTGCTGTCTGAAGAGCTTATCAACACAACAGTCTTCACTCAGTCTTCTTTCAGCAGGGTTATGGTTAACTGTTTGGTACCGGGTTCAAGTAACCGTTCTGCAAAGCTGCCGTCTGAACCGATGGACTTGGACGGGATGCTGGCAGCTCAGGAGGCTTTTAGTTCACCAGTATATACATGGTACTGGGACACTAGTGTCTGATGTTCCCATGTTTAGTGTTGATAAGGTGGACTTAAAGTATAACACAAACATACAATATGAAAACCACCTCTGGGTGCAGTACCACAACTTACCAGGTGGTGTCTCCAGAGCTGGTGACGATCTGGTTGTCATCCAGGAAGCGACAGCAGGACAGGTAACCTGCCAGAGATCGAAGAACTCATTCATGAGGGACTTTTATATATCGAATTAAGAACTACAATTATTTACTGTCTGCACAGAGGACAAAGTCATAAACCAAATGATCATCACCCCCTCCGATTATTCAAAGCGTGCCATGTGTGGGATGCAGAGAAGAATGGACTTATTCACTCCCAAAATTAGGGGGAAAAAGCTCCAGGATATCTCCCTGTGCATCATCCTTTACTAGCTGGCAGAGCGCGCATACCCCTCCCTACAGCAAGAACAAGAGCTAAAATGCTGACACACTTCCTGCATCATGTGACCCTGATCAGATGAATGCTCCTTGCCTAAGAGCTCAACGCTTTCATTAGTTTGAGCTGGGACACAACTCAACAACTCCTGATTCTATGGAGAAAAACAACATGCGACGGGAATCTAAGAAAGGAACAGAATTGGGTTGCACTTGTAGACTGTTGAAACAACGGCAATATCAGACATCCATCCCAGAAAGCTTTGCTGAGCTGGATATTACCTAGTCAAATAAATGCAACCTTTTCCAAAAATGGGAGCGATTAAGTGCTCTGTCATGTGAACATTACGACGTGCACACCGGCCCCGTGTTGTCTGAGGTTTGCTATTTTCCAGTTTCTTTTCACTGACATCGGGGGAAGCCCCAGAGGAACTTGACAGTAGATCTGACACTAATTCATAAAATCCCAAATGTATTCTGTGTAGCTTTACTGCAGAGCCTAGCAGGATTTCCAAATAGAAGCAGAGACTACAGGTCCCGCGCAGAAATTCTGTATTCCCTGTGGTTCCAAATGTGACTGCACTGATCCATCCTTCAAAGCGCCGCTTCGTATCAGCCGATGGGTCCAGCCTACCTGTGTGTCCGGCCAGCTCGCGGCTGACGCGCACATTTCCCTCGCGGGTCTTCAGGTTGTAGATGGAGCAGATGTTGTCCAGGCCTCCGCAGGCCACGTAGTTCCCAGAAGGGGCGTAGGCACACGTCATCACCCAGGAGGAGCGCAACGGGATGGCGTGGACCTGGAAGAGGGGAGCAAGATTTCGCATGAGGTGACAGATGGGGGAAGAGATGAGGGCATGCGACAAGGTTGCTTAACCCATCAAGGGCACAGACTCTCACTACAAATAGTGTTACCCTCAAACACTTTATTTTATTAATAACCCAGTACATTTTGTGAGCCCAAGTCAAACTTTGTTTACCTTGTTCGTGGTGTAGCTGTCCCAAATAATGAGTTTACCATCCTGGGAGGCGCTGACCAAAAGCCTGATAAAAAGAAAGATAGTTTAAACTTTAGGACCAATTCAAAGTTCAGGCACAGGCCGTTTTGTATAGACAGTTTATTACAAACAGAAATGGCTTCTTTCATCTAATTTGATACAATCATACGATCTATGTACTCATGTTCTGTCCTTCAGTAATGAAAATAACAATGATTGATAAACACGTGACATGAGATTATTTGTGTATGAACATTTTTGTATGTTTTGCAGACTTTACTTCAACTCTTCAAAACAGCAGTAATTCACATCAGTGAATTACAAAAACAGACCTGCACCACGCTTGCATGGAGTTTAAGCAGGTAATGAATAGAAGAGCTTTTAATCCAGCACGTGTACACCAGATAAATATGTCACAGCATTCTTTTTTTTAAAGCTGCATCAACAACAACAACACAGTATTCCACAGAATGCACACTGCTAATCCTAAAATAGGCCCATAAAGAGCGGACATGTTGCTGTGTAATTCACGTTTTTCAGTATTTTAAGTACCTCAAAAATCCAATCTGCAAAGTCAAAGTGCGTTGAGCACAGTAGTTGCAACAGGAGGCGCTCTCCGGTGCCCAGCTTTCTGGGTGAATCCAACAAGAGTAACCACAGCGACGGTCCCAGTACGCAGAGGAAGAGGAGTGAACACACCCGGGCCGGCTGGGACCGCGCACATCTTAACTACCGCGCTCACATGTGCACACACCGCTGATAATAAGATGGGGACAGAATGGTGTGTGCTGGGAATTTCAGTCTAAAAGAGAATGAGGCATTAATGCGGCAGCCTTCAAATGATCTGATTATTTTACGTGTGTGTGTCAGCTGGGACACACCGATGCAACGAGATGCTCCCTTTCCAGGCAGAACTGAGCTCTGACGACACGGTTGGGAACAGACTCCGATGTCTGGAACGCCCCGGTGAAATAAATCAGTGTTGCTCGTCACTGGTCAGATGTGTCTGAGTAACCGTGGTGCTGCCGAGTGACGCAGTCAAACAGAGTGAGTAGAGTTTCTGCCAAGCTGTGGTCCTGTGCAGCTGAAGTGAGGGTTGTGCGATGATTGATATGAATGAAAGTTAAATAGTCTTTAACATAACCGGTTCAAATGAATTAGAGAAATTATATTTCCAGGTGTCGACGTACGTTTACATGCATGCAAACAAATAGTTTCTTTATATTAGTACAACCGTTTGCTTTCAGCAGCATTATTATCAATTCAACATTGGATTTGGATGTGCTTGTTATACGTGTGTGTCTCAATAAATGAGATCACAACACTACTCCCTTGAAAGATAAATCCTATTGAATTATTGCCCAGCATAAGACGGAAGTGAATAGCAGCAAACGCTTAGTGATTTCCTATTTATGAAATAAACATTTGGAAAAAGGTTTTATTTTAAGAAACACACGGTAACAAAGTCGTATGAACGACCGCGACAACAAATAAATCTACCGGGTGGTTAAAGATTTTCACGTTGGATATTGGTTGCGACTCACTGGCTGCATGTGGAGCAGAGTTATCGAGTTCAATAGTTATGGCCGATGCCCAGTACTATTATTCAGAATCTTTTTCCACCACAAAATAAAGTTTTGGGAAGAATACAATGTCACAGTCACGTTTTTCCCGAAATAGAAGTAGAAAGGAAGAAGCCAGCTCTTCCATTCCTAAACGAGGGAAGTGGGAAAGCTGTTGAGTAGAGGCGCCGAAGCATTGATTCAAAACTTCTCAAGCCGTATCAGTAACATGTGTCTTGGAGCATCGCTCTGTCTATGAATAACGAACAGTACTTCCTGTTGAACAATGGATAGTGTGAGACTACTCTTCCTTATTTCATGAGCTGTTTGGGCTTTACACGTTATCACAGCAAACGTGATAAAAAGGGGAAAGGCATTTGAATACCAATTTGGATGTAGATTACCATGGCGACGGTCGTTGCTGAAAGCTTTGAGTCATGATATTTCTGGGGCTCCGGTGTCGTCAGCGGACATCCGGGCCCGGACCTTTCAGTGCGCTGCTCATGTTTAACATTCTGTTTAGCAACTTGAGATGGAAGTCTAGAGTTAGAGTTTAAAGGCAACTTGTCCAACCGGATTGTTTACAAGTAGCCAGTTTACAATCTTTTTTCAAAATCGGTCAAGATCAGGCGCCGCTAGAAGGTTGAAGGCATTTCGTGTCTGGCCTGTTTGCTCTGCAGACCTTTTATCTGTATTCAACTAAAGCCTACTTGAATGCGATTGGTCAATATCACACTAAAATGCTGGCAGGAATTTCCTTGTAAAGGGGAATAACCAACAAAATGATCAGCAGTAACATTACATTCGGCAGCAGACTTTTTATATTTATTTTTTCATTATAATACTACACTTTGCCTCTTAAAAAGGACTTCAACAATTTATTAGTTAGGATTTCTGGTACATCAGAGTGCAAACCCCTGAATCTTTAACACAATATACAGTTGAACCAACGATGGTTCGTTTCCAAACTTGGAAACCTGCCACTGCAGACTGAATCCAAGCAGTGTCTGTGTGGGGCTAAAAATAGCAGACTATGGGTCAAAACATCTTCATGTGACCTTCGTCCTGGGTTGCTGAATCTCAGCAGGTAGTCTAATAAACCCCCCAATGCCTCTGGGAGGTCAAAATTAACACATGAAACAAACAAACAGGAGGAGCTGGAGTACTTCCACTGGATGGTGATGAGGTGACGTAGCAGTTTGCAGCGCTCTCCCTGCGGACTGACGCACAGCGGCACCACGGTGATTAACTCGCGCGTTGCTGAGGTGAGAGGTGTGTGCGACTCGGGGGAGGAGGGGTTACGTTTAGAGGCTTTGCATGCGAGGAACGGGAGCTTCATCTTCCTCGGCTATCTTGCTCCTGCACAGCTCTAACAAAGGCCGACTCCATTTGGAGTATTTCCCTAACCCACATACCCCACCCCCAATGCACACAAACACAGCACGCACACACAACAGACAGACTGACTGATGCCCGCCCAAATGCACAATGAAAAAAATGCATTACTTCTTGTGTAAGTGCACAAGTATCCTGCTTTAGAATGGCTAGAACACGGAGTATATGTTAACCTGACGGACCGCTTTGTACGAATGTCGAGAGCGAGCCATTGTAGAGCGCCGTGGCTCGACGAAGCCCCTCGGGACCAGTGACGAGCACAAAGACCGTCAAGGTTGCCTTTATAGTCACTTCCTGTATTTATGCGAGAGGCACTGGAGGAATGATTATTTCCTTAATGGACGGAATGGAGTTGAATGAGATTACCTTGAGTCAGTGCCCCAGTGCATGGCATAGATTTTAGCCAGATGACCCCTCAGTGTCCGTCTAGTGCGCATTTGAATTCTGCCAACGGGGTCGATGCTAGCTGTGATCTAAACGAGATAAAAGGGAGAGAAGAAGTCAATTTGAGGAGGCTGTGTATTTAAATGCTATTTGCACTCAAACTTTAAGGAGTACTCCTGAGGAAAAAAAAAGAACATCACGACCGCCCACAGTCAAACATCCAAGCTAATTTTAGTACATTCTCCAATAGATTTCAGCCTCATAATAACTACTGGAAGACACGTTATATAATTATTAATAAACACGTCTCTCTCCGTGCATCTTACCTGAGACAGAGTAGCATCCGCACACGCTTTCCTGGCATCCTGAAACACAACAGCAGAGTCAAAACTGCTTCAGCACAGTGCATCAAACAGATCACTTTATGAAGAACACACAACAAACTAAATAAAAAGTGTCCTGTGGCAATACAATTTACCCTGCCTCAACAAATTGATACCTACAACAGTATAAATTGGTTCAAAAACAAGGGGGCTCTTAATTACTAAATCAATGCACTACGTTAAAATTACATATATATGATTGTGTGATCTCAGATTAAGTGCATTGTTGCCATAATCGCACCATAGAAAAAAAACATGTCATTATGTAATTATGAACCAATACATGTTAGAAAAATGAAAGCATTTACTCTCTGCATTGTAAGATGCTCTCATTAGGTTGCACAGCACTACGATGACGCAAATGGGAAGCCGGTATGGGCTTTATGAGCGCGGCTCATAAACCGCGGCGTAGGCAAGGAATTCTGTGAATTTGTCCTAATAGAAAGACTTAACACGCCATTGGCTGTAAAAGCTGTAAAAGCCTTTCCGTCACTTTACCCAGATAGACCGGTGTTTTGAAGCAGAAAAACACTGAATGGCAGAAACGGCTTCTTTCCTGCTTTATCTTCATAATGCAAACTACGATGCTTCTCAGTGAACAACCTGCTTTTATCTACACCATCTGGAAATATCTGTCTCCAAAGCACCTAACGGGAAATTAGAAACTAAGAAGAAAAAAAAAAGAAGAAACGGGCAGATTTGAGGACGTGAAGGCCTTACTCTGATCTGGTTCTTGAGCTGCTCAGCCTCCTGGCGTAGCTGATCCAGTTCACTCATTTTCCTCTGCTAATGGTGTGCTTCGCTCCGCCGCCGAGACTCTTGCTGATCTAGGGAGACAAGAAAATGAGAGGCTTAACATTATATATATATATATATTACACACACACACACACACACACACGTGAACAAACACAATGTTTGTACATAATGTGCAACCAAGACAATCGTACTGCATGTCTTTCTTGACTCTGCATTATGTGCTTCGTCTTCTGTGAGGAACTTACGGAAAGAACACGTCAGAGTCCCTTAAATCTGATCCAGACAAAAGTTACGGGGAATCAGAACTTCCCAACACTTTCTAGACTGTAGACTCGTCCTTGCCAGCTTCGCACTGTTACCTAGCAACAAGCACTCAGCTGTTACTTTAGGCTTAAGAGACAGTTTTTGAAGATGATGTTGAATTCGTTCTCTTCCTTCACAAACAATAGCAAACCCTCAGGCAGAGATTAGGCCACACGAAGCAGCTGATAGCCATTACTCAACAGCCAAGGCAAAGAAAATAATGGCTTTAAAAAAAAAAAAAATGAATCCACTCAGCTATGAGGGAGCAAAACATACCCGTTTACTGACAAAAGAAGCAAGAATTAAGAGTCCAGAGACGGCAGAGAGGCACAACAGGACACCAGCCTTGGTTGCGTGGCACTACTGGAACCCCAAGGCGCTCAGATGACGGGCAAGGTTTGATGAAGCGGTCGATGCTCTGGCCTCTGGACTCTAAACTCTCTTCCAATGTCATCGCTGTAATCCTGGGACACAGTTGATTCAGCGCCTACAGCCAAATCCGGTTAAGACAAAACCTGCTGATGATCCTAAAAGCAGTGGCTATCCTGCTGACCTCAATCCTCTAGTTGACACTCTTAGCATTGACACTTTCACTCTCCATAGATGGAAGACAAATACGATCGAGAAGAGCTACAGTAACAATTCTAGCTAACAGGCCTGTTGGTCACTTATGGTATCCACAGTTTCAGCGGTACAATCATCGATACTAGAAGAGCCGGTAGAAGTCACACTACGCCATCCAGTCACAATCATTTCACGCAGTGTCGTCCTTTGATACTCCCTCCTTTTACTCATTCCAACAAGCAAATACACACTTTTCTAAACACAAATGTTCCTTATAGAGAACTCCTGGTAACATAAATGCCCATCTGTGAAATAACTGCACCGACTGTCCTGCAAACACACCTTACCTCCCTGTTTGGATACAAGTCCTTGGTCTTGGAGAGGTTGCGACCTTCAGAATGAACACCGTATGCTTCAAGTCCTGACATCCCAGCAGCTAACCGTCACCTCATTGGCCAGCGCCGCTAAACGAGTGTGCAATTGGGCCAGGGGCCTTAACCCCTACTCTCTGCCATAAAAATCTCTGGGTAATATCAGACTAATTCTTGTGTCTGCAACATCCCACTAATTGACAGGTGAAGTAACATTCCACTAACTTTTCCAAAAAAAAAGAACTGGTCAATAGATTTTGTTTGAGGCTTGTAGTAGTCACACATGTGTAAACGTATGAATGACTCCCCGATCGCACTGGCACACTCAACATTTGGAGATTGTTGCACCCCATAGTAGCACACGGCAGTTCCGCCCCGCCCCGAAGTCCACGTGCGCCGGACAGAGTGCGCGACCCTCCACAACGACCACCCCGACTCCTAAACGCTGTTTAAAAAAGTGAATTCAATAACTGCCGCTACGGACAGAGGCTTGATTTCTTTCCTGGGAATGTCCTGCTGGGCCTTATTTTAGGGACTTTTGGGTTTTACTTGTTTAAAACGAGTGAGCAGCTGGGCTGAGGTCAGGTTATCAATGGAGCCCTTCAAGAACATTCCACTGCTCGGTCCTTTAAGGGCTGATCTAAAACAGGGTTTGTTTTAGACTGCTTCGTATGAATGAACTGCAAACATTTCTGCTTTACAAAACGGCCACATGCTCCAGAACAACCTAATCAGATGAATGTTTAATTAATGAAACGCAGAGAGTTATAGGAACAGAGAAGATTCTCTTGACAAAAACATAATACGGCAGTAGTCGTTACTGCTTTTCGTGTTAGAGGTGTGATTTGGATAACCGTTTTTCCCTTGTGCTGGTGGTGGGAGTGTTGAAACCACTGGCAGGCCAACAGATACAGCCTCCACTGCACTGCCTTCTCTTTCTGCCAGCTATTTTTAGACAGGTGATGGGGGAGGGGGAGGAGGAAGAGGGGAAGGAGAGGGGAGGGGAGCAGACTTCACATTTTCCAGCCACTCCTATCAGCGCCGACATCTCTAGCGCAGTGACAAGGAGAGAGGAAGTGTAATTCGACTCCACACACTAACACACTTCGCTGGTATTTCTCCTTCCTGAACAACAATGATCACGCTAGCGCCGTTCATTTTCACAGAGGAGAGACGCTCATGGTGTCCAAACCGAAGGACATTTTTACAGCGGTTTTCTTCTTTAAAAAAAGATTTAAAGTACTGAAATAGAATAGAAAAAATATTAACTTGCATTAAATGTTAAATCTATTCAAAATAATAAAGTGTAATTCATTTTTTTTAATCTTTTAAAACAAATACGCAGTGTTCCTTTACTTAACAGACAATGCGTCCAATAGCATATTGTGTTGCTCTCATTAAAAGTGGACCAAGGCAACCAGACGGAGGAGACTCGTTATCAAATAACTAAAAACAATATTTATTGAATTTACAAAAGAAAATGCTGGCTAAATAAATAGAGGAGGGCAGCGGGTATCTAAACTCGCATGTGATGTGTATCCTTTCATAAGTTGGACAGTAGATTTTGGGGGAAGACAAAAGGCTCCACCCCGATGACACACGGCGTGCGGTAGGCTGAGAGATGTTCTGGTGCACAAGAGGATCGAGGCAACAGAGCCAGATTAAACTAATGAGAGTGAACAAGCAGAGGACAATTGGGAGGGGAGCTGCTAATTAACCCCTTGGTGAACATGAGCCGGGCTCACTTACTTTACCGGCATTAAAGAGCGAGCAGAGGCGGCCCACACTTCGCCGCGCGTGTTGACCTTCGCAAAAGAATACTCTGTAGAAATGACACAGTAGAATATGCTGTACATACTGTACTGGCTGAGATAACACGCGAAACGTAATGCAATCCGGAACAAGAATGAACTATTTGATGCTATGAACAAAACTAAAAATGAACCACTGCGGTGATAATATTCTACCAGACGCGAATGACAAGCACAGATCATCAAATAATAATTATTAGTCTTGATCATCAGGAGCAAACCTTGCATGCTATTCTAGCCTGGAAACATTGCAAATACTGAATGTATGTTCTGTGGGTACACCAGGTAAAGTAAATGCGGCGTAACTACTGTTAAATAATGAAACTGAACTGCTGAGCGCATGAAACAAACTTCAACTGAGCCCCTTGGGTTTTACAAACGCTTGTCTTTGATCATTTGGGGTCAGAGTGCATAGAAGTGTTGCAGATGTGTGTCAAAGACCAAGACATGCTGACGGGGGACATTGTGTACAAGGGAGGTTTGGTCCACGTTGTTGCAAGTGAAGAGGGAATGTATCCGACTGGGCAATAACCTATTATATACATTTATGATATATTTTCACACTCAACATGGAATGATTATTGTTTACACGTCGCCCAGCTACGTGACAGACACAGCCATGTATTTGACACACGTTACTGTCGTATTCAAAAGGTGAGGTGCGGGGTAGTGCGCTTCATCATTTACGGCCTCCTGCTCGGATACCATGTGCCCCACCCCTTGCCTTCACGAGGATCACATCCTGCTTCCCCGGTCTGATTGTTCCCGCTCCCTCACATTCCAGGGCTTCAGAGTGCAATGACTGTTGTGGTGCCTTTGCTGCTCCTACAGTCATGCAGTATGAGGTACAGAAGGGAATGGAGCGGACTTTTGCAGGGAGACTTTCACCAGCCGGCTGTGGCGGCGCTTCGCCGCCGATCGCCTGTGTCAGCATGCCGCCGCCCCCTTAATGCCAGCGCGTAGCTTCTTGAAGCAGGCGTTTCCTCTTTCAGGGTGTTTCCCTAGCTGCGCTCGTGTGTCTCTCTCTTCCTTTGTCAAAACATTCAGCGGATGTGGCGACAGCGAGCACACTTTACAAATACACCCGCTCTGTGGTTTCTGCTGCCTCCATTGCACCCGGCATTGTCCATCCCGGCTTCGAACCAGGCGATGCAAGCAGCTGCATTACAATAACAGGTTTCACTGGACATCATACGCCAACAGACAAATGTCAGGATAAAATCGGGATGGACGGGTGTGGGGGTTGGTGGGTCAGCAGGAGGCCGCGGTGTGTGTGTGTGTGTGTGTGGGGCTGCAGCGCCAGAGGCGGCCACTTCATAAAAAATTAGGTCAGTCTGGCTTAAATCAGGCCTAGTCCATACTGGTAAAAGAATAATCAAAAACGCACCGTTGATAGAAGCCTAGTGCACCGAGTGCAGATGCGACGCGGGCCTGTGGGAGGACGAGACCCCGTGCTGGCAGTGGGATGAGGAGGTCACTGCGGTAACCCAGAGGAAATACATAAAATAGAATAAAATGCGTGTCGGATGAAGTGAGTTGTTTCTTCGCAGCTTATTTTAGAAGAACCAAAGAGCCATTGTAGGTGGGGTCTAAAATGTTAAATTTCATCCAAAAAAGGTCCCACACAGTAGCTAAATCGAAGCTGGACCGGTGAAACTGCAGATGGCAACAAGACTCCTTTGCCGAGCTTACAATGGGACTGCACTTTCAGGTCAGCATGCAACTGGTAGGCTTTTAGAAAAGCACTCTGTCTGGGGAGAAACCACCTAATTTCTTCTTCTCCTCCCTAACCATCCATTAGAAGAAAACAATGCATTATTTAAAAGCATTCTCCCATACCCGTGACCTTTGCATTTGGGTCAACCCGTATTGTGCTCGTAGCTTCCAGTCCAATTAGTGTTACTGACTGGCTTTAACTTTGGGTTAAATAATATGAAAGAACTAGGTAATAACATTTATTCACTTATGTCAGCTCCCATTGTGAATGTTTTGACAAGTGGCGCACATATACGAGATGAT